GAAGGTAGCTTTCAACGCTAACTACTTAATGTGCGAGTACGCATTCTATGACGAATAGTGTTTGCTTCAGGTTGTTCTATTATCCCTTTAAATTTGTTCCATTAGTTTTGAATATAGTATATGTGTGTGTGTGTGTATAATTTTGCGGTTAAAGGGGACTCATAACATACAGTGCATTTTCAAAATTTTACAGGAATTTGATAAAAATGAAAAATTTGGAAACAGAATCATTGTTTATCAAATCAAATAAAGAAAAACAGTTCTGAGAGCTTTCAGATTTTATAACACACCCAAAGGGGCACTTTTTTCATTTACACAGACATGCACGTTTCGAGAGCATTTGGGCTAAAAATATTTAAAAATAGCATATATTTAGAATTTCCGTCTTGCGCTGGAGATTTATTTTACTATATATTTTATTATATTTAAAATATTTTATTCCGTACAGTGTGTTCCCGCTGCTCGTTTTGAAATCGTTGAGTCCTTTAATTAAAAATTCGTTATTAAAGTTTAAAAATATGAAATAGATAATAAAACAAATTTGAAATTCAAGATTCGGGCTTCCAGGTGTCCATACTCGGGTGGAAGACTACTCTATTCAAAATTTGATGGCTCTAGGTATCGTTGTTTTTCACAAAGCGAGAAACATATATACACTCATGCAGATTCTTCATTATTTAATTTCTTTAAATATGATACAGGGCGATAATATTTGGCGGCAACAATCTGAAAAGTGATACAGCCGTTTATAGTGATTCAATGCAAAATGCCGTTTCGAGACTAACAGGCTAATGCTTCTTAGGCTAATAAACAGTAAATCCTGTTGAGGAGAAAATTTAAGAGTTCTATTTTAAGTTTTTAAATACTAAAATATATTTGAAATAATTAATAATGAATATGATATATATCGACAGAAAAGTTAAGGGTTCTCTTTAAGTTTTAAATATTTAAAATATTTGACTTATCATAATATATGATATATATCGACAGAAAAGTTAAAGGTTCTCTTTTAAGTTTTTAAATATTTAAAATATATTTGACTTATAATGAATATGATATATATCGACAGAAAAGTTAAAGGTTCTCTTTTAAGTTTTTAAATATTTAAAAATATATTTTATATATTAATAATGAATATGATATGTATTGACAGAAAAGTTAAGGGTTCTCTTTTAAGTTTTTAAATATTTAAAAATATTTGACTTATAATTAATAATGAATATTATGTATATCGACAGAAAAGTTAAGGGTTCTCTTTTAAGTTTTTAAATATTTAAAATATATTTGACTTATAATGAATATGATATATATCGACAGAAAAGTTAAGGGTTCTCTTTTAAGTTTTTAAATATTTAAAATATATTTGACTTATAATTAATAATGAATATTATGTATATCGACAGAAAAGTTAAAGGTTCTCTTTTAAGTTTTTAAATATTTAAAATATATTTGAATTATAATTAATAATGAATATGATATATATCGACAGAAAAGTTAAGGGTTCTCTTTTAAGTTTTTAAATATTTAAAATATATTTGACTTATAATGAATATGATATATATCGACAGAAAAGTTAAAGGTTCTCTTTAAGTTTTAAATATTTAAAATATATTTTACTTATATTTAATAATGAATATGTATGTATTGACAGAAAAGTTAAGGGTTCTCTTTAAGTTTTTAAATATTTCAAAATATATTTGAATTATAATTAATAATGAATATGATATATATCGACAGAAAAGTTAAGGGTTCTCTTTTAAGTTTTAAATATTTCAAATATATTTTACTTATATTTAATAATGAATATGATATTTTGACAGAAAAGTGAAGGGTTCTCTTTTAAGTTTTTAAATATTTAAAATATATTTGACTTATAATGAATAATGAATATGATATATATCGACAGAAAAGTTAAGGGTTCTCTTTTAAGTTTTTAAATATTTCAAATATATTTTACTTATATTTAATAATGAATATGATATGTATTGACAGAAAAGTTAAGGGTTCTCTTTTAAGTTTTTAAATATTTAAAATATATTTGAATTATAATGAATAATGAATATGATATATATCGACAGAAAAGTTAAGGGTTCTCTTTTAAGTTTTTAAATATTTCAAATATATTTGACTTATATTTAATAATGAATATGATATGTATCGAAAGAAAAGTGAAGGGTTCTCTTTTAGTTTTTAAATATTAAAATATATTGACTATAATGAATATGATATATATCGACAGAAAAGTTAAAGGTTCTCTTTTAAGTTTTTAAATATTTAAAATATATTTTACTTATATTTAATAATGAATATGATATGTATTGACAGAAAAAGGGTTCTCTTTTAAGTTTTTAAATATTTAAAATATTTGAATTATAATTAATAATGAATATGATATAAATCGACAGAAAAGTTAAGGGTTCTCTTTTAAGTTTTTAAATATTTCAAATATATTTGACTTATATTTAATAATGAATATGATATGTATTGACAGAAAAGTGAAGGGTTCTCTTTTAAGTTTTTAAATATTTAAAATATATTTGACTTATAATGAATAATGAATATGATATATATCGACAGAAAAGTTAAGGGTTCTCTTTTAAGTTTTTAAATATTTCAAATATATTTGACTTATATTTAATAATGAATATGATATGTATTGACAGAAAAGTGAAGGGTTCTCTTTTAAGTTTTTAAATATTTAAAATATATTTGACTTATAATGAATAATGAATATGATATATATCGACAGAAAAGTTAAGGGTTCTCTTTTAAGTTTTTAAATATTTCAAATATATTTTACTTATATTTAATAATGAATATGATATGTATTGACAGAAAAGTTAAGGGTTCTCTTTTAAGTTTTTAAATATTTAAAATATATTTGAATTATAATGAATAATGAATATGATATATATCGACAGAAAAGTTAAGGGTTCTCTTTTAAGTTTTTAAATATTTCAAATATATTTTACTTATATTTAATAATGAATATGATATGTATCGAAAGAAAAGTGAAGGGTTCTCTTTTAAGTTTTTAAATATTTAAAATATATTTGACTTATAATGAATATGATATATATCGACAGAAAAGTTAAAGGTTCTCTTTTAAGTTTTTAAATATTTAAAATATATTTGACTTATATTTAATAATGAATATGATATGTATTGACAGAAAAGTTAAGGGTTCTCTTTTAAGTTTTTAAATATTTAAAATATATTTGAATTATAATGAATAATGAATATGATATATATCGACAGAAAAGTTAAGGGTTCTCTTTAAGTTTTTTAAATATTTCAAATATATTTGACTTATATTTAATAATGAATTATGATATGTATCGAAAGAAAAGTGAAGGGTTCTCTTTTAAGTTTTAAATATTTAAAATATATTTGACTTATAATGAATATGATATATATCGACAGAAAGTTAAAGGTTTCTTTTAAGTTTTTAAATATTTAAAATATATTTTACTTAATTAATAATGAAATATGATATGTATGACAGAAAGTTAAGGGTTCTCTTTTAAGTTTTAAATATTAAAATATATAATTATAATAATAATGAATATGATATATATCGACAGAAAAGTTAAGGGTTCTTTTAAGTTTTTAAATATTTCAAATATATTTGACTTATATTTAATAATGAATATGATATGTATTGACAGAAAAGTGAAGGGTTCTCTTTTAAGTTTTTAAATATTTAAAATATATTTGACTTTTAATGAATAATGAATATGATATATATCGACAGAAAAGTTAAGGGTTCTCTTTTAAGTTTTTAAATATTTTTCAAATTATTTTACTTATATTAATAATGAATATGATATGTATTGACAGAAAAGTGAAGGGTTCTTTTAAGTTTTTATATTTAAAATATATTTGACTTATAATGAATAATGAAGATATATATATCGACAGAAAAGTTAAGGGTTCTCTTTTAAGTTTTTAAATATTCAAATATATTTTACTTATATTTATAATGATATGATATGTATCGAAAGAAAAGTGAAGGGTTCTCTTTTAAGTTTTTAAATATTTAAAATATATTTGACTTATAATGAATATGACATAAATTGGCAGCAAGTAAAAATCTGGAACTGGAAGTACAGATATTTGAGGAGGGTCACGGAGTATAGGGGGCATCCCAATTTAAATGAGCAAGCACGTTTTCCAGTCAACGGTTTCAATTTCGAAGCTATACATTTCTGGCTGCTACATTGTTTGAGTTAACCAGTTTTCAGTTGTAAACTTGATTTTTATCATTCTATACAACGTACTCTGATAAAAATGATTATTTGTTGTTGACAGCACCGATAACTTATGATGCTACTCTTGGAGATGTTTTTGTTATTATCTGTTCTTTTATCTGTTACACTTATGGTCCTAAGGCTAATGGATAATAGAAATTCCACGGTATCTTGCTTTTAATATATATGCTTTAAATTATATTTTTGCTTCAAAATTTAAAAAAAAATATATCACTCAGTCTGCACTCAGTATTGCTTTGAATGACTGGCAGACTTATTACGTCATTTTATGTTCGTTATAGTTTAATGAACAGCCTACATATTGTTTTGATATAAAAAGTATTTAATATTTTTAATAATTAAGCAAATCAGTGTGAGAGATATTTTAATCGGTCAGGATTTGAAAACAAAATGTATTTATTATTATTACTGCAAGAGAAAAATCTAATAAACAAATAGAAAATCATCAAAGATAAAATAAATATTCATTTACAAAAATATGATTTTTTTAGAGCATGAATTAAGAATATTAATTTATGTTAATCCAGAAATTCAAAATTTCAGATCTTTAAATCACAAATAGATCTGTCAAAATTTTGAACATTTAAATTCTCAATTAATATTAAGATATAATACAATAAAAATATAAAACAGAAGTTCTAAATTAAAAACCAACACTGAAGGAAGCAAAGTGCATAAGATAAAGGAATAAATAAGTTTTGGGGAAAAAAAGTCCAAGTGCTTAGTTACTTTTATTATCTCATTTTCACTATGCAGTCCTTTTTGTAAAAGAACGTTGGATCCCCCATCCTCTTCAGTAGGAAACACAGGATATTCTCCGTGGTTCTGTCTGATAAGAAAAAGGACACCTTTTAGCATTCAAATTTAGAGTATTTCAGATTACTTTGTAATCATACATCACTTAAAAATTATATTTAATATTTAACTTTTAGGCTATCATAAAATCAAAAATCATGGCCATAACGTAGTGTAACCATGATTTTCTTTACATCAGTACAGAGTCTTTTTAAATTCATCTACGAAGTTATGAATTTTGGCTAAAGAGAATCATTTTTCCTTTCAGGCTATCATAAAATCAAAAAGTCATGGCTATAACGTAGTGTAACCATGATTTTCTTTTCATCATTACGGAGCCTTTTAAATTCATCTACGAAGTTATGAATTTCGGCTAGAGAGCATCATTTTTCCAAAATGGTGCCTTCCATATTAGCACTTTATTTCATGATTTCTTGTAAATATATATTCTTTACCCCAAAATTTAAAAATCAGCAATTATTTTTTCACTGAAATAAGAATTATAGGAGAACCTCGCTTAATGAACATAATTCGTTCCCGAATCTTACTTTTAATGAGAAACATTTGTTAATCGAAACAATTTTTTCCGTAGGAATCAATGTAAAGTAGCAAAATGTGTTCCATTTCGAAGAAAATGTTAAAAAAATATAATAATGTAATTTACTTTTTATAATACATATTTTTAGAAGAAAGTTGCATAAAGACATTTGTTTTTGCTTACACTTTAAAATTTGGCAAAAACAGGACACATCATTATCGTTAAATAAATTTGTAGTGCGTATAGCTATTGCCTTATTGGGGTGATGTATCTCAACGTTCGATGCAAGAGTTTGCCCCACTTTCAGCCAGCATCTCCCTTATTTCACTGGAAGATTGTTGCTTTATTGATACTATTGTCTCCTTTTCCTCTGACGTAATCTTCTCCGGAACCTCTTGCTGTGACGCATAATGTATATTTATAAGCTCTTCGGTGGTCAGCTCCTGGCTATGCTCTTCCACCAGCTCATCGATGCCGCTGCTATCCACCTTTAGTCCCATAATCTTACCCAGTGACAAAACTTTGTCGATTACAGGATCCACAGGCACAAATTCATCGGAATCACATTCCACAAAGCTGTCTAGCCAAAGATTTTTCCAAAGATATGGATGATGGAATGAGATGGAGAATTATCGGTAGACTGAAAGTAGGCGCAATCAAAAGCGCAGGTGGATCCAGGGTTCAATGCAACGCTCAGTGCCGTTTGCCACTTATGGAAACAGTTTCAGAGCACTGGATCTATATCCAGAAGGCTTGGACAAAGTTGACCAGGATCCACAACGACGAAAGAGGATCGTTATTTGGCACTTTCAGCACGGCGACACAGGACCGCTACAGCTTCACAGGTTTCACGTGAGCTGCATGCTGCCACTGGTCTTCAGGTTTCATGGTCTTCAGTACCTCGAAAGCTTCATGAGATAAGGCTGTGTGCCAGGAGACCCGCTGTTTGCGTTCCGCTCACTGCAACACACAAGACAGCGCGTTTAGAGGGATGCAGACAACATGCGCCTTGGACCAGACTTCAGTAAAGGATCGTGCGTTTTACGGATGAGTCAAGATTTAGCCTAGATACTGATTCTCGGCGTACTTATATCTGGAGAGAGCCTGGAAAACGATATCATTCCTCCTTCAATAGATAAAAAGATCATTACGGTGGTGGAAGCGTAACAGTTCAGCCAGACATTAAGTTGGGCAGCCTTCAGACTCCTGCGTGTGTTTGATAAAGGCTTCCTGACCGCTATGAGTTATAGAGAGGAGATCTTAAAGCACTATGTTCGACTCTTTAGAGGCGCAGTTTGTCCTGAGTTCCTATTAATGGACGATAACACTCGTCCAAATAGGGATCATCTGGTCGACGATTACCAGGAAAGGAGGATATTCGCCGCATGGATTGGCCAACCAGATATCCCGAAGTTAACCTCATAAAATATATCTGGGATGCTCTTGGGACGGCAATTTCATCTCGCCATCCCCCTTCGAGAGCTATCCCGGAATTCAAAACTGCCTTGCTGCTGGAGTGGGATGGACTTGCCACTCAGTTGCCTTCTATCCAGTATGACATCCCGCTGCGCGACCCGTCTGGTTGGTTGTGAGAAGGGACCATACCTTATATTAGACTCATTTTTCAGTTTCATATCACATCGTGGATTTTGGACATCCCTGCACCGATAATCATGCGTACATAAAATACGTTTTGAATGGTATATCTCTTTCTCGTTTAATGATAATCAAGCGTACATAAAATGGCTTTTGAATGGTACATTATTTTCTCTGTTATAAACGCAAATTCATACCAAATTTCATTAAAATCTGTCTCTTAGGTTTTTACAGAAATACGACATAATAAGCAAATTCTCTTAATTTTGCCCACGAGTGCATATACGCGTTAAGTGAGCCATGCTAACACCTCGTTCTCGCTTCTCAAATATTTGGCGTTTGACTTCAACGGTGATTTTTTATTCTTTTATCTAAATCTTCCTGAGGCATTTTCTTTGGGAACAAACGTGTAAGCATGCTTAAACTTTGCATTAAAAAATACACAATAATATGTCTGAATACGGCTTTCACAAGCGACAGTAAGATGCTAGCTGAACGAGTGCTAAATACAGACTGACAGAAGTGATGTAGTCAGGATCCTTCATGCGACACCACGATGTTACTTGTGCGTAACATTGCTCGTTAAGGGAGACTTTGTTTTATAAATTTGTCTTGCTCTTTATGCAAATCACTCGTTGTGAGAAACGCCCATTAAGATTTGACTGTACATATATTTGTCTATTCAAGAGTATTCTAGAAAATAAATGAAATAAATATGAAATACCACTTTTTCATTTCTTGCAAAATCTTAAACTATTTTGACTGTACATGTAACCTCAAGTGGAACATCGTTTCATTGATACTGTAAAGACTTTATTTTGTACTAATCAATTAATTTTTATTTTAAGAAACTTTTCTTTTCCTTATTTCAATTTCCTGACAGAAGGCAAATTTTAATGAAGTATATGCAAATCTCGTATGACGTATATGCAAATCTCGGTGAGTTCGGAAATAGTATATAGGTAGCAGAATTGAAGTTCGCAGTAAGAAAGCTAGTTACGAGTAAAGCGTGTTATATCCTGAAGATTTAGATCAGATTTAGATTAAAGCAGGAGCCAGTCGTGTAGTTAAATTCCATTTGATCGTGCATACCATTTTGTGTTAAGTTACTTAGGCACAAGTGGTGGTTAATTGTACGCCCCGAGTGTGTGCATGTTCTTTTCAGTTTGGATAAAATAAAAAGGTTGTTATAACCTTCGTCGACAGTCACCTTTTTTCAAGACATAGCGAGAATTCGTTATGAGATACATTCCGCAAGAGAAGAAGAGGAAGAATGACCTTGCTGTTTACATTAGCTATACATAAGTCATGTGATCTCTGAGGTCATCTGCATTGTTTGTTTACATTAGCTATGCATAAGTCACGTGATCTCTGATGTCATCGGAATGTATCTCATTTCGTCTTCAGTAGGGCCTACGTGCTCCGAAAAAAAGTATAACTCCACAATACAATAATTCATACAGCATCAATTTTCATAAATATCCTAATTTCTTAAAATACTCTTTTATTTCATGTATGAATTTATAAATGAAGTACATATATAAGATGTGATCAGAAAATGCTTATGCACTCAAATTTCTTTCTTTTTTTTTAAAATTATACAAGAAAGGATACATTACCATTAATCTCTTTAAATTAATCCTTCCTCTTTCACACATACACTTAGGCTTTCGTCCGTGATCTTCTAAAACATTTCTAGAAGGAAATACCTGTAAGGCTGCGTTCAAACGGGGGCGTAAAGGGCATAGAGGCATAGTCATAAGGGTATAAAATACGGGAGTTCCGTTCACACCTGCGAGAACGGTGTGTTCGCCTTGGCCAATGAGATAACCTAAATTTGTGCTTTGCCTTGGATGTGTCTACAACTTTCCTGTGTTGTTCTCCTGCTCAATTGATTTCCCGCGTTTGCTCTGCTTGTTTTGTAACAGCGAAATGGTCTGCAGAACGCCGCTTCGTTTTAGCTTCGCTCTGATTGGTCGACGCTTATCCCAAACGCGGCGTAAAGTTGAAAACTTTGAACCCTATGCCACGAGCCCTAACCAGATTTTGTGACGTAGCAAAGACTGGTTGCCTTGGCAACGGAGCTCGGCTTTAACCGCTTATGCCCTTTACGCCCCAGTCTGAACGCAGCTTAATTGCTTTGTTATAGCTGCCTGAAAGCCTTAAATAAATTCAAAACATTTACCTTTCATAGTTATTTTGACTTTGAGAAAGTTCCAGAATTGGACAATGTCAGATCCAATTAATGAAATAGATGAAGAGACACTGTAAGCTTTTGTTTAACACATTGGAATTAGTATATGGCATAGAACACTGTAACAGGGCAGGCGCCAGAGCATGTGCAACTAGTGCAGCCGCACCGTTGCATTGAATTTAGGTTCGGCAAAATATGTAAAATTTAGGGAGTTACTGGACACAGATTCTAGGAATCGAAGTGATTGCACCGGGCGGCTAAAAACCTAGTGCCGGCTTTGCACTGTAATGATGGGAGATGAAACCGTTTGCTTATTTTCTATGCAGTAAACATATTCAGCATTTTAAAATCAAATGGACAATACAGAGATAAAAATGTGACTACAGAAAAAAAATTTAATGACATCTTGCGGACAGGGGAAGAATAGATTTTTTTTTTATATGTGCAATGAAAAATTCCATTTTATAAGTGGATGAAATTTTTAAATTTAAGATTCTTAAAAAATTCAAAACCTTAATCAGTGACCCTTAACACTTATGGGCATCTCTTCATTTAGCTAATATAATAGTTTTTTATACACTATGGAAATCAATATCAGTTAAATACTCTAAAGTTTTTTATATGAGTTTGCTTTACAATTCTATTTATGGGAAAAAAGAGGAAGGGAATGCCTAGAAACGTATGCTAAGCATAACCAATAACGATAAGTACCTATATTGTTCAAAATAAGTTCGAATTTCTGTTTGAAGAGCTTCTATGGCATCTGGAGCATGATACGTTTGAATTTCTTCTTTGACTTTTCTGCTTACTTCCAAAAATTCAACTTCATTTTTCCTTATCGTATCTTGACGCATTTTCTTGAGTTTTTTAAGACGTGAATGAAGATTGTTAGTCTTTTCAATGACCAAAGGTTGCTAAAATAAAATTATAATAATAAAAATAATTACAATAATAAATAACAATTTACTAAAGTGTTTAAACTTACTAATTGCAATATTAAATTAAAAACAAATGAAACTCATATTTATAAATTGACTGAAACATTGCATTTATATACTATTAACCAAATATGTTAACCGAATTTATATATTAACCAGTTATATATTAACCGTATGTATACATGTATTTTAGAAAGATTTCTTTGAATAATAGGAAATACTGAAATAAAAAGAAATTAATACAACAAATTGAATAACAAAATATTCTGTTATTAACATATAGGAAACAATGGGAACACTGCGTCAGTGATATGCCATGGTATTCACCGCAAAGGAGTAGGTATGAAGGAATTTCATAATCTTTTCTATGATAATCAGATCTTTCTTTTCATATCCTTTTCTAAGACGATCTGTGGTCAGTAGGGGTGGCTGCCTTACACAGATGATGGTGTATTTAATTATGGCAAAGCACACGAGGGCTATCTGCCTAAAGGGAGGGATGCCTTTCGTGGAGGACTTTCTAAGGGAAACTGGCTCGTATACACGTTACACATGGGGAAAACCACGAAAACGCCCATGCAGCCAGCCCGTTCGCGGGATTCGAACCTCAGACCGAACTACCAGTGTTCAACGTCTTTGCCGCTGGTGGTCCCCTTACACAGATGAAATTCGATACTAATTTTTAACTTCCTTCTATACGTACAAGGAAGTAGGGGAATAAAGGAAATATTACAATATTGCATTGTTATTGTTATAGTATTTTCTGCTACTACTTAGTAATGTAAAGATGCTACTAGGTGTGCACTACATTCACATTCAAAGATTTTTTAAGTTCTTAAAATTACAGTGTAAAGCAACATACATTTTATGTCAGGATATTTCTGTCGTCCATCACCTCAAAACATTGCCATTGAATTGTAAATGCTGTGGATTGTTAAGTACAACAACATATTTCAAGTACTCCAGAATGTAAAATCAAGGAATTTCAGACAAGATCAGTAACGTTTGGGTTTTTGATAATATCACTAGAAGACAAAATATTTTCCAGCGGCAGTTCATTAGCATTTTTTTATTGCTAGCTATAATCTATACGTTAAAGATAGCGAAAAAGTACAATGTTTTTTTCCGATTCTTATACATTAGAAAATTTTGAGAGTGAGACAGAACTTTGGCACAGTTTTTGATATAGCAAGTAAAGATTGAAAATATGAAAGATCTAACAATGGAAGACTTCCTTAAAAGGAGCGAAAAAGATATTTTCTTCCTCAAACAAAGTATGTTCTTATTTTCTTGTCTGAACCGTGTGTAAGATTTAGTCCTCTTGGTTAACATACACTGCTACTACACCTACTTCAAAGTCTGTTAGCGAATGATCGCTAAGACTAGAAGATTAATACAACAAGGGAAAGGTGTAAAAGACCCTTCTATTGAACTCAATATTTACAGACGGCATGGTCTTACATTCTTACACTTTCACCGTCCACTTGTGGTGAGGAACTTAAAGATAATGGTATCAAACTAAATTTAAGATATAAGCTAGTAGTTCAAAACTGCACCAATTAATTTACAACTAGAAGATTGACTCAGAAATCTACAGCGGCGTGATATTTAATTTCAGTGGCAAGAATGGCAAGGCCGATTTTCAGAATTCAAATAGCTGGCAGAAATAACAGGATGCGCACTCAACAGCGAAAACCACCGGTCTGACTAACCTTTTCGCTACTTCAGTTTAAATACATTCTCGTTCACCCTAAACTCATTTAAAACCTGGCGACGAAACGCAAAGGCAACAAGGTATGACAGAAAAGACTAAAAAATTAATATAAACCTTATACATGTACCATAGGCTTTGAACAGAATAAAAATCTGGTTGCACTCAACGGTAACTGATGATAATATGGATGACTGTTTATACATTGAGCATAGTATATCGAAAGCAATTTCAAGAAAAATAAAACGAAATTGGTAGGAAGTCTTAAGGCGATTTCCACTACAAGGCGCCATTACAAGGGCCGAAACTGGTTGCCATTTCATTATGGAAGCATCTAATAGGTGGCCACCGTTGCCTCCTTTGAAGGGACGGAAAGTTATAACCATGCCTTCTCCGGGAGTTTCGAACCCGGGGCCCATAGCTATGGCAGTCAGGGTCATTAACTACTATACCGCCTGAGCGAAAGAGAATGAATAATAGATTATGCAAACATATTAATTAATAAAAAAGCTTCATTAATTTTCTTTTTAAAGCTACAAAAAATATTTGCAGAAATTAGCGTTAGTGAGCTCGGAAATCGAATTTCTTATGTACGTAACGTATTTCGTATGATATGATATGATATGAGGGACGCAGCCCACCCTCCTGGCAGACTTTACGTCGCCCTATGGCCTTTTTGCGGGCTGCGCCAGAGCAAGCCAGAAACAGCACATTCAACAGACATAAAGAACATAATAAAAAACAAAATTCAGATTAAAATCCCCTACTGCAAGCTTATTATGGTTAATCTTCTCCATCATTTTCCTGGCAAATTTTATCAATCTTTTAACATCCTTTAAAATATCATATATATTAAAAACATCATTTTTCTTAAACTCGTTCCTGATTATCAGTAAAATATTGACATGTTTCCACATAATGCTGCCCGGTTCTTTACAGATATCACAAAGGTCAGAGACTCTTGTAATTTAAACCTTTTAACTCGGCGGAAGTCGCACCAAGAAAAGTTACTAGAGTGGGCGCGTGGGGTATCACATACCCCAATATTTAAAATACGATAAAAAATAGTTTTATTTAGTTTTAAAGCTGTTTCTTGTATATATTATAAATACGTGAATAATAATTGGGTTTCAAACAATTAATTTCCAAAATAATCTTAGAGTTAAAATTAAGATAAAAGAAAATAATAAAAAAATAAACATCATGCCTCTTGGCGCGAAGGCAAAAAATTTATAACATCTTTCATACTTAGTTGTTTCGAATTTCATGTATTCGTTTTAATTCTTCGTCGAATCTTCTGCTTTTGTTTTGCATGCAGTACGTCAATTTCTTGGTAAAGTATTAATCTCTGATCTTTGTTCAATACGTTTTCTTCATTAATTGTAATGCTAAGTCCTTCAAAGACAGACTTCTGTTTCTGGGTGGTGGATTAGCAGTTGAATGTATTATAATTCAAGTATTTATTACAGCAACATTCTGTGCAGAAAAGAAAATTACCATTGGCCACCTCCTTGTTATTCTGGCAATTGAATAATTGGCTGACATTTTCATCCCCCATATCCCTGCTCCTTTAGTCATATTATAAAAACATATAATTCCTAGCGTTATATTTTCTCCAATAGTATCATCTGTAGTATGATCGTTATATAATGTTGAAAGCATAAGAACAGTTTTCCCTTTTTTTAGGAACATTAGGAATTAATGTTTTATCTTTTTCGAAACCAAAACAGTGTAGAAAATATTCCCAGTTTCGTCTTCAGTTTTCGAAATGCAATCTTCATCGCTTTCAAATATTTCTAATAAATCTCACAGGCGTTGCATCTCCAATTCACAGGGAATCATTCTCTTTACCATAATGCGGTTAGAAATTTTTAAGAATTTAATGTCAAGTACTTTAAAATCATTTGCGAATATTTACTGTTACACTCTAGAAATATTTACTGTTACACTCTAGAAATAAATTTCTGAACTAAATATTCAGTCAGAAAAACACTTACGCGGATAGGCGCGTGGGGTGTTTCATACCCCAGTTCCAACAAAATATCGATAAATCTTTTTCTGAAACACACAGGCAAAGAAAAAGCGGTTCTGAAAGTCAACCACAACTAGAAACTCAGCTACTGAATGCAGCCAAAGAATTACAAATTCTTTGATGCAGCACAGAATTTAAGTTTCACAAGTCAGGAATATTCCACTTTTATGTAAGGGTGGGTTATGATACACCCCACGCGTTTTCCCGTGGGTTAAAATAGAAAGGAAAACGGCTATGACCTGTAATGATTTGGTTAACGTGAATGTCTGAATAACATAAATCATTTTTAAGTTTAAAAAATTTCATATAACCTTTATTTTGATCAGATCTTTTCCCCTCCTCACTCCATTTATCATAAATAAAATTTTTCATAATAGTCACAGCTTTCCTTGTTGATCCCTGTGCATCAATATCACGAGCATTAACATCGGTAATTGCTTCCTTGGCCAGTGCGTCCGCCCTCTCTTTCCCAAAACGTCCAACGTGTGCCTTCACCCAATTAAACATAATATTTTGATCTTCTCTCAAGTCTTTATATCATTGTCTAATATCTACTATTAAAGATATTAGACTTTATATAATTGTCTAATATCTACGTATTTCGTATAGATAAATAAATATCTTAGTTTGCAGGTCGTTTTCCTTTGTTGTAAATGGCATGTGTTTCAATGTTAAAAATCACCAGGGCCGTTCCTAGCGAGGGTAGAGCGCATAAATTCATTGTAAGACGATCAAGAGAGACGGATCAACGCGTAAATTTATTGTAAGTACTTGTGATATTGTAAATACTTTATATACAATTTGTCCTATATAAGTACTTGGTGAGTATAAAATACAAATTTTATTAACCATTGAGTTTTTTTTTTTTTTTTTTTTATTTATTTTTTAAATTTGGGGGCAGCAATCTTAAGAAAGCACGCAGGTAGCCAATGGCCTAGGAACGGCCCTGAAGATCAAATTAAGTATCTGAGATCATGAGATCATGCAGAATTTTTTTTTTTTTTTTTTTTTTAATCAAAGCATGAATTAACCGCCTCTCCCCTCCCATGGGGAAAAAAACCGAGCTTTATAGTTTTCAAAAACTGAAAAATATAGTCTACAGCTAAGAATTTGTTGCAGGATATGATGGAATAATTTAATCAATAATTGCTAGAAAAGTGGGAGATAAAATAATTCTGATCAAGTTTTTAATGCATGTAATTGTTCTAAAGTTTATGCAAGCATGTGCGTACACGCACGCACGCACACCCACAAACACACATAAATAAGCTATCTTAATTTTCAAACTTAATTAACAGGGATAAACAAAAAAATTAAAACTTAAACTTCCAACCACTCTTTTGAATTTCATACTGTAATTGCCATACAGCAATGAGTAAAGGGAAAATTCAGGCATTGCTATTTGAAGTACTTCAACATATAATGAACATGATATTTTTGACATATAGCAAAGATACAAGATAAATACTTCAGATTTCAAGAACAAAGAAAAATGTAACTACTATAGACTCGGGAAAATAAACAGATTTAAATTTATGGGAAAAAAATTAGAATAACATAGCACATTCAGCATATATTTACCGAATTCATATGAGCTTTTCTAACATTATTATGAAAAGAAAACCATTTCCAAGCCTGAAATAAAATTAAAATATTAACAAAAATGAGTAATAGCAGTATAGCATTAAAATCATTGTATTATGATATTCAAAAACGCATAATAATTATGACAATTTTTAAAAATGATAGAAAATTTTACTGTCAATATATCGGATTTATTCATTTTAATAAATTAAAACGTTCCAGGATAATATTCATAAATATAATTATATATAAATATAATTATAAATATCGTATTTATAATTCTGACGTGGCTCCACATTTTTTGGTGCTCTAGGTCAGTGGTCTCAAATTGCATGCGGGCTGAATGGGATTGGGATTATTCAATTATGGCAAAGCACACGAGGGCTATCTCGCCTAAAGGGAGGGATGCCTTCGTGGAAGACTCTAAGGAAAACTGGCTCGTATACACGTTACACATGGGAAAAACCACGAAAACGCCCATGCAGCCAGCCCGTTCGCGGGATTCAAACCTCGGGCCAAACTACCAGTGTTCAGCGTCTTTACCGCTCGGCCGCTGGTGTGTCCCGCGGGCTGAATGAACAATGTAAAAAGTAGCTGAGGGAAAAGAATTTTTTTTCACAAAATGAAAATTTATTATTAACAAAATAAAGAATGTAATAAATAAAAATATAATATTAATAATACTTTGTAATAAAAATAAAGAATACTTTAAATTTGGCTGAAGTAATATTTGTACAAGCATATGAAAATAATAATCGTAGCAATAATGCAAATAAAAAAAATTATATTTATTTTCTATTTGAGATCAAAAGTTTGGTATCCGCAAAACACTTTTGTTGGTAACCATTTGTAATCCAAACATACTGATAGCTAAATATTAAATTTTGGACTTATTTACGTTTATTTCCAACAATTCTAAAGTGGTTAGTTAACTATTAAATAACTTAACTTTAAATTAAACAAAAAAAATTTTAAAAACAGTTTTCAGAGAAAATTTTCCAATCGGGACAAAACTTCAGAATAGATAGTGACAACCTAGTCTCTCTGTTACTATTAAATTTTTCTTTGGCACATAAATAAAAACACATACGCTGGTATTTAAATACACTTCTTTATTTCTTCAGCTCAACACTGGACGGCGTTTCGATTCTGATAAAGATTGTTAGCTTTGCAGAAAAATTAGCAGAAATTACCTTGATCTGAGATTATAGATGCTCATCGGTCAATCGCATTATTTCCTTATTAATTTTCAACTGTGAAAAGCAGTTCACATTTAAATGCATTCCCAAACAAAGCGATTCTTCTCAAACAGCGATTATTCTCAAAAATTCGCGATTGAGCGTATTTATTTTTTGATAAATACGAATAAAAGTTAATTAAATTTGTATCTTCATATCTGTGAATAAGATTTATATCATACTGTAAATTGATTAGCTCCGTTTATATATTTTATGGGGAGGGGGGAAGGTATTTACGTTCGTTTTTACTTCCTTGTACTAAGTAAAAAGGAAGTATTGTAATCGCGAAAAGTTTCACGCAGCATATTTCAACGAAAATATCCATTTTGTTCGCTATCGAATGCAATTTAACGATGTTTTTGCGTGATATCTGTACGTAAGGACAGAATAAAAGACTCTTTTCCTCCAAAAAAATTATAAAACTGCTTTAAAATGAATTCTGAAGAGAATTTTTCGTGGCGTCTGTACGAACGTATGTACGGACGTACGTCTCAAAAACGAGTAGACTCAGAACGTTGAAATTTTGTATATAGGACTGCTATAACATGTAGATGTGCACCTCGTATTATGCTTGCAATCGGCCGCACCAAACGTATATAAATATATATATCCACTCTGTTTCCCGGTTCGGTGATCTCAGTTTCTTTACTCTTATATGTTTGTAAATTGTACATTTTTTGCTTTAAAAATGATTAAATTATGTTGTTCTTATCTTCCGGTTACGGTTTTTCTGCCTTTAGTAAATCTGTATTCAATATTTTCAGAATTATCAATAATTTTAAAGCTGTTTAGGTGCCGCTAAGCCTAATATTTTTTTTTAAGGCTGCCATTGCTTGTTTACATTTGAAATTGCAGAATAGTGGATTTGTTGCCAATTTAGAGAAACTTAGCTTCGCAACAACAAAGATAACGCCTTCATTTATTATTGCGAATTAAATCATGCTTAATCCTTTATGGAATTTTTTCGAGGAGATAAGTGTTTAAGATTTGCTTCGTAATTTTTAATACAGATATTTTGAGCTTTTATGTATTTTTGCCTTGTCGTGAAGTGAGAACTGAATTAATTGAATGAGAAATACTCAATCGTCTGTGAAAAACTGTTTCTTTTTTGTTTTGTTTGCTGAATTTCTTTTATACATCGTCCTAGCTTTATTGTAGTATTTGAATAGAACATGTGGCAACGATTAGATAATTCTTTAAATGATATAAATTTTGTGCATTCTGAGTTATAATATAATATATTGGTAAAGGCCGTTAATGGTTGATTGCCTCTTACTAAGTGATAAGACATAGACATAGTTATAATATGAACGAAATATAATACTGTTAAATGAACCTAGCGCCAGAGTGTCGCTATGGTAAACAAATAGAGTGACTTTTAAAGAATGAATTTATTCTATTGTGGTTTATGCGCTGTCGGCGAAATCGATTTAATTCAATCCAATAAGTTTAAATGAAATGCAAGAAAAAATGCGTATAATTTAATATTCCGTACAAGGAAGTCATGTGGTGTACACATCAGATTTTTTAATTATAATGGAAATAATATGAATTCGGAACTCCAAATAACTAAAATCTTGAAAACTTTGCAACAAATGTATAGCTGAGTTGTATTCACGGATCGGCAGTTTAAGACCACTGCTGTAGGTAATTAAAACAATTGGACAAACTGTAAATTAAACAATATAAAGCAAAACGTACTTATATTCAAGTGGCATTTGTTATGAATAACCAACTGGCACCCTAAATGACTGCCTATATCGCCTGTGCTTGGAGACAATCCCGCACGTATTACTTGTCTACGCACTGACACAGAATCCGCATTATTAATAGATAATTACGTTAAAATTCATTGGTTTCAATACGTTTTGTAGTATTTTAAACTGCTATAAAAAATTACGCAATATGAAAACACGCAAAATGTAAAACAGCAAAACATCAAATTTATAAAAATAGTATAAACAATTAAATTTTTATAAACTATAATAAAATTCGGTATGATCATGAAGCAAAATATCATTTTGTTAAATTAATAAGCCCATGTAAAGAGCATTGCAATATGCCTATTTTTATAGTAATTATATCTGCTCAAAATTATTTTCCTTGATTACGTCTAACTGTAATATTTCCTCAATCTAACCGTTGCATTAAACAACAAGAGGAATTTGACGAAAGAATGAAAAAAAAAAAAAAAAAAAAAAAAAAAAAAAAAATCTGAAATGTTTCAGATTTTAAATTACGTCCAAAGGGGCGTTTTTAACATTTTGTGTGTTACCTTTCTTTATTAAATATCATGTTCCTCGCACTTAAACCATAAGATCCAGTGCAACAGCAATATCGCAAAATAGTTTTAAAACGAGCATATCTTTAGAATTTCCGATACAGAGACTCACGCGCTGGAGATAAAAATGTTTTTTCTGCACAACGTTGCCATTGCTCGCTTTGAAATCCTTGAGTTTGTTAATCAAAAATTCGTCAAAGTTTTAAAAAATAGGAAATCGATCATAAAACAAATTTCAAATTTCAAATTTGGTCTTCCACATGCTCATATTCGTTGGAGGATTACGTTATTCAAAATTCGATGACTCTATGTACCGTTATTTTATGACAATGCGAGAAATATACATACATTTACGCAGATTTTCATTATTTAATTTCTTCAAATATAATGCAGGACTCTAACATTTTATGGCAACAGTTTGAAAAGTGAACCGACATTTATCCGTCCGACGCAAAATGCCAAAACGAAACTAATAGTCCTTCGGGATTCAAATCCCTTTGGACTAAAAAAAAAGCTTTTAACAAAATTTTTAATAAATAGTATAGTAGTTAAAAATCCTCACAGCATAATATAAGACCTTAATCATAGCAATCACTATTATAGCTTCTTTCCAAAGAAGGGTTGTCTGAAAATTTGGGGTAACTGATTTAGAATTACTTTACAGATGGGAAATTTTATGAAAAATCCTTGAATTTAACCAACTTAACGTCTATACCAAATGTGGGATAAAACTACTAGTGCTCTATGACACCTAACCAACAAGCCATGAATAATAATAAAAGATATATTTTATCATTTTTCCTAGATATTCATTCTACATAGCAATCAATAATTGAAGATGGGATACCGACTTTATTCTCAACTGAAAATTTTTACATACTGACTGAATACATGACATTATGTTAAACATGTGAGAATGAATGTTTATTCTGAGACAATTCATACTAAAAAATACAAATTACTGGTAATCAGGCTGACGCCAAAGCTAGCATGGCCACAATGGATGGCAAAATTTTAAAAATTTTAGGAGGTACTGAATGGCAGTGCGCTAGAGACCGAACTTTCGACCTGGAAATTCCGTACAAAGTTTAGATGAAACGGGCTCTAAAAGGGACTCATCAGTGGCGGCGCAGACCCCACAGTCCCTGCCCGGCTTTATACACAGGGCTAAAGAAAGAGCTAAAAAAAGCCCTGCTTTATACATAGCCTCGGCGAGGTAGAAATCAAAAGTTACAAAATACGAAAAAAGATACACTCTCTCACCTTTGCCTCGGGGCACCACTCCCTCAGGATCAGTTAATTCGTGATCGGTGCCTTGCCTTACACGGTGCCCCAGGCCTAGGACTATGAGGGCTAAACCCCCATCGAAGAGCCCCACTTAAATCTACATATCTGCTCCACAACAGCCGAGGGAACAGACACAAAGTACCAGTACGGTCCTGCAAAGCCTGAACCAACCTAAGTACAATAATTCGGGTTCTAGTCCTGTGAAGATTGTTTGTATGCCCCCGTGGTTGAGACTGCCTAGGTACAGATCCTAACCAGTACTTCCCAGGAATTCTCCTGACTCAACCCCCGTGGGGGGGGTACTGAATGGCAGAAATTAGGAGCCCAAATATTAAAAATTTCTGGCAGTTTGGGTATAAAGAAGGTTTAGAGATCAGAATCAGATATAGCCACCATGGGCAGTCAATAACTGCTGTTACATAGGCATAGGATGAATTGTAGATGAAAACCTGGAATACTGCAGTGTAAAACGTTCCATTTTTTTTTCCTAGAGTCCTTTTGTTGTAAACAATGATGATTAACCATGAACCAAATGTATTCATTTGGTGAACGATCTGGTGAATATATTGATCAAGACAGAAGTGGAACATGTTGTCTATAAAAGAATGCCTTATATTAATGCAATGTATAGTCATGCCTTGTCTTACTAGTAGGTGCTCTGTGGAGGCCCTTAGTAAAGGGTTATTGGCTAGTCAGAATAGCAGTTAGACATACTACATCTTAAAAGAATAACAGAACAGAACCCAATAAGCATTAACTCTAGTAGACATAACCATTGTGATGCTGCATCCAAAATCAAAATTCATTTGGAAAAGTGATGTCACGCTATTCATGAGTCATGTGCATTATTTCACTGCAGATGCTTATGTTGTGCTCAAAGGTAATAAAGAAGTGATTGCCTGGCAAACAATTCATGAGATTGCTGATGGTGTTGCACCATTACATGCAGATATTTGTTTCACTGACAGACAGCATAATTTCTAAGTTCATCTATGTGATGTGATCCATACAAGTTATAAATAAAATATGTCTGTCCTCTCAGGCATTGGGACATTGGAAGCGATATCATAATTTAAGTCAAGTAAATTTTCTATACAAACAAGCAATCAGGAAATACAATTATCGGATGAGAAACCGCTATGATATGCATATGTGTTGCATGAACAATCATTTACATGTTATGCTAATTTCAGCTCAAGAGACTATAATTAATAGTACATATATTAAAAATCAATAAATACTTTTTGTATTTTCAGAGCAGCATCATTTTCAGAAAGACTGATTTTCAGACTTTTTCTATATTCCTGTAATCTACCACTTTCTTTAATTTCATGCAACTTTTGAGCTTCTAAAAACGCTTGTCTTCCTTGGTAAGCTAATACATGTGACTGAATAATTGATGCTGATTTCTTTATAGCTGTTACTTTATCTTCCCCTTGCTGAAAAACAAAATATATATTCTTGACGAACACAATAATTTCAAACATTTTTTTATATTTATTCACTGCACAAATAAAAATTAATTAATAGAAACTTACTTCATCTAAATTGTTATGAGTTAATGATAGAAGCCTAAAATATTCTTGCATGAGGTCTAATTTTTCTTGTTCTTTACATGTCTTTTCATGAAAGTATGCAGGGATCTTTATATCCATATCACTCTGAAAATTACAGGAGCCTCTGGCGTCTTCATTAAATAATATTTCAATTAAACTATTTTATACAAGATTTAGAATAGAAAAGCAATTTATTCAACATATAGTTAAGTTATGAATAATTTTATAGAAATAAAGGAATACTTACAGGTATCATCTTTAATTCTAATAGTAGAGCATCAAAGAAATGAAATTCAGTATATTCTAATGCAACTAGTTCTTGTTTTAACTCTAAAACATGTCCGATGCAGTTGTCCACTAATGAACGCAGTAAATACCTTTTCTGAGGCTGCAAAATGGTTTCATAACAATCTGTAAGAGCATTAGTCACCTTTATATAACTCAGATACAGCCGCCCAATTTTTTGAACTATAAACTGGTGTTCCTGTAAAAGAAAAAAGATTCAATTTGAAATTTAAAGATGGCTAGAAAAATAGCAAAATTTTTCAGAATAATAGCAAGATAAAATTCCGCTTTTACATTTTATGAAGAAAGAACGAATATATTTATGATACATTTATAAGCTACATTCCCCCCCAAGAGATTATGCTTCTGCAAATTTGAGAAGATAAACATTGTAATCGTACATTAAACATCGTACATTAATCTGAAGAAAAAAAAGTATTAAATGTAAGAACCGAAAAAATAATAGTTTGTGGCCTTTTGGTCATTTTCTCCATAAGTTTAAACAAGATCAGGAAATACTGCATAAAATGAATTTCTGTAGTTGTATAGTCATCTATGCAAAGACTAAACCTTAAAGGTACCAAATAGGCATCTGAAATATGAAAGATATAATGATCTCATTAGAAACACAAGTAAGCTTCTTTTCTGTTTTCAAAATTAAATTATTCCCACATATCAGAATTTATTAACACATAAATAATATTGTTTTAAATTATAGTTATTAAATATTATCAAAACATATGACTATCTCGCTAAACTGTTGAGATACTGCCAAGATGGCGACGATTTTAGCGACTAATTTTTGTAGCCAAATTTGGTAACTAGGTGGCGACCTTTGGGTCCGCTCCCTGTATAACTGTAACGGCTATTCTAATTGAATAACTCTAATTGATTTCTATATGTAACTGTTACTGTATCTGGCCTTCATATGCCTTTCAGTAATTTTGAGAAGTTCTCGGCGGCCAGGGCAAAATTAGATAAGACCGAAGAGAGAATCAGCCCTCAATTCTTCTCAGTTGTTAGTTCAGAGTCGACTTCGGAATACTGAGATATTCTCCATATTAGCTTCGCTCTTTAGATGCGCTTTGCATTGCGTTGTGTTTAACATTCTTCTTAGTAGTTTGAAATGTAACTACCGATTCTATTCTGCGATACTCAGAAGAGCTGTACCAATATTTTTGTGGAAAGTTCTAGAAAGTTTTTTTTTCTTAGTCCAAAGGGATTTGAATCCCGAAGGACTATTAGTTTCGTTTTTGTATTTTGCGTCGGACTCATAAATGTCGGTTCACTTTTCAAACTGTTGCCATAAAATGTTAGAGTCCTGCATTGTATTTGAAGAAATTAAATAATGAAAATCTGCGTAAATGTATGTATATATTTCTCGTATTGTGATAAAACAACGGTACATAGAGTCATCGAATTTTGAATAACGTAATCCTCCAACGAATATGAGCATGTGGAAGACCAAATTTGAAATTTGAAATTTGTTTTATGATCGATTTCCTATTTTTTAAAACTTTGACGAATTTTTGATTAACAAACTCAAGGATTTCAAAGCGAGCAATGGCAACGTTGTGCAGAAAAAACATTTTTATCTCCAGCGCGTGAGTCTCTGTATCGGAAATTCTAAAGATATGCTCGTTTTAAAACTATTTTGCGATATTGCTGTTGCACTGGATCTTATGGTTTAAGTGCGAGGAACATGATATTTAATAAAGAAAGGTAACACACAAAATGTTAAAAAAACGCCCCTTTGGACGTAATTTAAAATCTGAAACACATTTCAGATTTTTTTTATTCATTTTCTTTCTTTTTCTTTTTTTTTCGTTTTGGTACAATAAATTTTATCATGCTCCCATCGGTTCTGTGTGCATTCAATTCACCATGAAACCCTACGTACGAACAATTTTTGGTGTCAGGAGTGCGGCTGAACGCCGGTGACAAAAGAGATGGATGAGCAACTGAGACAGCTGGCGACAACTGAGACAACTGAGCCTTTACTGCATTCAGAGAAGAGATGAAAGCAGGCCAAGAACCTGTTACAGAAGAGATGAAAGCAGGTCAAAAAGAGATGGAAGAAGCTGTCAAATCATTTCAAGAAAAGATTAAAGTAGGTCAAGAGGAAATGAAAAGAGAAACTATTGCCATAATAGGGGGAAAAAATGAAGCTATGGAAGGCAGAATAGACACGGTTGAAAACAAAGTTGGTGAAACTGAAGAAAGCGTTTCTGGTGCCGAACAATAAATTGAAGAAAGAGTTTCTGCTGTTGAACAACTAATCAGACAATGAATTTCTTCTGTGAAACAACAAACAGAAGAGAGAGTGTCTGCTGTCGGACAACAAATCTATTATAGAATTTCTGCTGTTGGCTTGATAGATTTATAAGGCATTTCTCCCTCCTTCCTAGCGTGCCTTTGTGGTGTAGTGGTTCTGCACGCTGGGCCGGTATTCCAGAGGTCCGTGGTTCGATTCCCGGCGAAGGTGTTGCTACTTTTTCTATCTCCTGCTTCCGAAAAAATTCTAATGTCTCTACAGTGGCACCCGAATTAAAAGGGTGTTGGATGAAGTTTTTCCACACCCAGGATTTGGCGATTGGGTCCCCCAAAAAACCCAGTCGCCCTTTAAAAAGAGGAGTATATAAGGTATTTCTCCCACTTTCCTAGCGTGCCTTCGTGGTGTAGTGGTCAGCACACTGAGCCGGTATTTCAGAGGTTCGTTGATTCCCGGCGAAGGCGTTGCTAATTTTTTATCTCTCTGGCTTCCAAAAATCCTATGGCGGTATTAATAGACTCTTCATCGTGGGTCATACAAATGGTGTTCCTTGCAATGTCACCATCAATAGAGAAGCCAATTTAACCATCATACTGTTACGAATTTGGCATTTAAATAATCAACATTAGTTGAATTGTAAATTAAAATGGTTTTATTTCCCGCGCAGTGCAGCGCGTGACGAATATTAAAAGAAAGCTAAGCCGGAAAATTGAAAACACAAGAGCGCGTGCATGTAACATTTAATAAATATCTCCTTTTGATTTCGAGAAAGTACTAGAAAATTCTCGCGCGCGATTTTAAAATCTTATAAAAAGAGGAAAATCTCTCAGTTCGTTGTAGTTATTTAGTTTGTTGTTGTTTAGAAAGCTGCTCTTGTTGACTGTAGCGAATTCGCGGATTAGCTTTCTGTAGCTGTTTTGAATTAAGTTCTATTGAACGTTTGAGTAGTTAAAAGATAACTACTGTGGGATATTGTAATACTGCACGATAATTTGAGGAAATTTAAGCATATTTGTTGTGATAATAATAAAATTATGTTCATTTTTCATCGGACTTGTGCATTCATTTCGTGACGAACCCGTACGCACGCAACAATACAAAAAGATTTGTCACGAAAATTGGAAGATCAGCTTATCTGGACGCCTCCCTCTTCTATTCTCCAGACTGTGTTCGTTTATAGATTAGACATCAATGGAAAACTGAACTTAATATCATATTTGGGAGTGCCGTCTACCATCATATGACATATGTAGCAAATATTACAGACCTTTGCATACTCAGGTTATACATTTTAAGGAAATACAATTGTTTCTTGGACTTCAAACATAACGAACTGCATTCAGCGTCCGAAGATATAACCCTATTCGGAATTAAAAATGAAGGAGTAAATAGGTCCAATAAATAACAGCCCAAGACGACATCACAGTACCAGTAACCGAATTTTTACTACCTGGACCTATAACTCAAAACAGAAATTTCCAGAGCGGCATAATGGAATATCGTAAGAACTACTAGGCCTCGAGAGAAGTATCAGTAGCCTCGTTACTCGTCGACTTATCGAAGACCATAATCCCAGTGAGAGTCACCAACGTAAATGATAAGGCGAAAGTCATGAGGAAAGACGAAGTGGTTGCAGAATGTACTCTAGCGACCTATATTAAACGACTCAATAGTCCACCAGTCTCTGTATCTTCGGACAGCCTAACATCGGAGTTATATAGCAGAATGCAAACTAAGCGATAAAGAGAAGAATGCTGCCGAATCTATCATTCAAGATGTTTTCTCCAGCATAGCTTCTGACATAGGTTAAACCAGTTTGGCTCAGCACAAAATTGATACGGGAGATCATCTATCAATACAGCAACATCTCAGACGTCTACCGATTGTTAAACAAGAAAAGGTAGGAAAACTTCTAAAGGACGTGCAAGTAAGCTGAGCCTTCCGTAAGTCCCTGGGCCTCTCTCGACTGGTTCGACTAAATTTTGCAGTTTCAACGAGATTATGAACAAAGACACCTACCCTCTTGCTAAAATTAACGACATTCTGGGCACACTTCCTGAAAGTAAGAGTTCGAGCCTTGATTTAAAGAGTGGATATTGGAAGGTAGAGATACACCCCGGATGACTGAAAAAAGAAGGCATTTACTACCGAAGGATTTGGTAGTTCAAGGTGATGCCGTTTGAATTATGAAATGACCCAGAAACGTTCGAACGCCTTATGGAGATCGTGCTGAGAGGTCTTTTCTACGAAGCTTGTCTTATACATTTGAATGACATCATCATCGTTGGGAAAAGTTTTGAAATGCATTTAGAAAACATAAGGAAGATGCTTCAGAAATTGAAGGAAGCCAGTCTAAAATTAAGTCCTGCAGAATGATAATTGTTCAGACTGGAAGTGACTTATCTCTGACATGTCATCTCTACCGAAGGTGTGTGTGCAGATCCAGAAAATGTGTCGGGAGTTACAGTTTGGAGATACCCCGAAAATATCCATCAGCTGAGAAGTTTTCTGGAGCTTTGCCTATAGTATAAGAGACTTGTGGAGGATTTTCTTCCATCCAAGACCTCTTTCAAAAACTGACAGAGAGCAAACAAAATTTCTGGTGTACGGAGAATGTGAGGAAATATTTAACAAACTGAAAAAGGTTTCAATATCTGCGACAATTTCGTCGTATCCCCAGTTCAACAAATAATTTTTTTTTCAACACGAATGCGAGCAATGAGAGTGTCGTTGCTGTTTTGTTCCAATAAAAAAAGTCAAGTATGTGTTGTAGCATATTGGAGCAAGTGTAGCATTTTAAACCGGAATAGGAATTACTGTGTCACCAGAAAAGAGCTGGTCGCCATAGTTAAAGCCGTAGTCATTATCTCTACGACCGAAAATGCCTTCTCCGTACAGATTATGCATCGTTGACCTTTTAAATTTTAAGCTTTTAAATTTCAGGAATCCCGAAGGCCAAATATCTGGTCGCACGTCAAATTACAACTTAAACTTCGTCTGACCCAGACTCATTGAGTGTCAAAGAAGTCAGGAAAGACCAGTTGGAAGATGGCGACATTAAACCCATAACTGACTTAACGGAATATTCAAATAGAAAACCTCTTAAAACAATATTGGGCTCTCTGGGGCTCACTCCATATACGAAACGGATACTTTTACTGAAAGTTCGAATCAGATGATGGAAAGACATTCCGATGGCAGATGATATTTCCAATCCCATAAGACCACAACAGCCCCACAGAAGGCCACTTCTACAGAATGAAGGCTTTGCATAGAGTTCGAGAGCGCTTCCACTAGAGTAATGCAAAGACTGACGTAAAAAAAAATGCTGCCAATCATGCGATGCTTGTGCGGGTTGCAAAAGGCCGAAGAAACGCATTCTACAGCCGAGGGAAGATGTTATGTTACAATGCAAGATCACCTTTTTAACGCACCACTTCTGATATCCTGTGGGACCTTTGCTGCGATATGCTAATGGAAAAAAATACATCCGTGTTGTGATTGATTACTTCCTGACGTGAAGTGGCCTGAAGCGTATGCTATCCTTAACCAAGGATAGTCATAGTAGCAGAGAAAATGATGCAGCATTGGATTCTCAGGTTTAGAGTGCCTCTTTAGTTACATTCCCGATTAAGGAAGGAATTTTATCTCAGTTGTAATTAAAGAACTCTGCAAGCTACTCGGCATCGACAAAACCAAAACCACACCTTTACATCTTTAGTCAGATAGCATGGTAGAGAGGTTTAATCTAACCATGCTTAATAACCTCTTGATAATGGTTTCCAGAACCAACCACCCCGGGACCAGAAGTTATTGTGTTCTTACTGGACTATCGCAGTGCAGTCCACGAGACAACCGGCTTTCCCCATCCCAGATGCTGTTCAATCATGACCTACGTCTGCCTGGTGATCTGTTATTTGGTTGTCCTTCGGATGCGCCTTCATCGCCATTCAAGATCTCCAGGCACGATTTAAAGTGATGAGTTTAAGTTCCCAATTTTGATCGAAAGCGAGTTGACGATGGGTAAAATGAAGACCCAGTAAAATATTAGAACTACAGGACATCGATTCAACGAAGGTGACAAAGTGTGGTTATGGAATCCGGTTCCACAGAAAGTAATTTTCCCTAAACTACAGTCTCCTTGGCAGGGTCGTTACACAGACCTAAACATCGCAGTTCGGATTATCAATCAGGTATTGATTTAGTATTTGATTTGTTGTATGCTACTTATTGAAATCTCTGTTTTAGTATTGCACTGTAGTTGTAAGTATGGCTTTCTGTCCAGAGATTGTATTGCCCAGGACTTACAGTCCTTGGGAATAGGTAATGTTACGATGTTGTACATATGTAAATAATTTTAGTGAAATTATATGTGAAATTGTATTTTTTGTATAATGTAACATGAAATGCTTGAAAGAGATGAAACTCTGCTGGAAAAATAAGAATACAGTGGCAAGTCTATTTAACATTGAGTAAATGGCTGTCTCGCCAAATTGCAAAGATATCGCCAATATGGCGATAGTTTTGGCGACTTTTGGACACCCGCAGCGACGGGGGCGCTAGTGACGGGAACACCCGCAGCGCTAGTGACGAGGACTGACAAGGTGGATTTTGCGAGACTCATACCCTACTTCTCTGATGATATATACATTCACAAATTTACATGCCTTACATAGGATTTGAACAAAAGCCCAATAGCATGGAAATCAATCTATATGCATTAAACATTGCACTTTTTCTGGCTATACAGACTGACTGAATACTTCTACAAGAATAAACAATAGGCTGTTGGAATCAATGGATATGTCTGGCAGTTATTTACAATTGAAAGGATTACAAAATATTGATAGAAGAGAACTGCACGGATATATTAGAAAGACCAACTAAACTTCCTTGGTCTCATATTAAGGCGAACAACTTTGACAAGTCTGCTACAAAATTGGCAAAGTAGATGGACAGAGGCAGAGGTAGGACGAAGGACATTTCGCCACAGTTCTTGACAGGTCATGGACCATTCCCAGTATACCTGAACAGATTCCGACTTAGGGATACTCCTTTCTGTGAATGCGGAGAGGAAGGCGATACGGACCATTATTACTTCCATTGTGTACATACAAGAACCTGGCACTTGAAGAAACCAGCGGACTGTGCCTGGACAACGTGGACGAATAACACACTCAAAAACAGAATAGCCCTTGATAAAAATAGAGAAAATCTCAAGACACTGCCTAAGCAGAAACAACTGTGGATAATATTATAATGTTTCAAATGTTCAGAACTTAAAGCAGATAACCAGGATAACGCTTAGTGCCTTGCAGTTATCAATATGTAAAAACTGTTATTAGTATATAATATTCAACCTTGTTACTCTGGAGTCTTCCCCGCCGTGATGGTATATAATTCCGTTTGGTTCATGTCCGTGGTCGGAAGCCATCATAGCGGTGCACTCACTCACTCACCCAGTCGAAATTTAATCCATGCTGATGGAATGGTACCCGGAGGCAAAGATGTCTAAATGTTGCTTTTTATAATTTTATATTTTAATGAAGCGTTGATTGCTCTATCCTAGGCTTTGCATAAAGCCGGGCTAGGCTGCGGGAATCCCGCCCACTCGCCGAGGTCTAGACCTCGGATGCGATAAACCCCGAAAGGCGCCCAGACAAGAAGACCCAGGAGGGTGTTCCGGGTGTCTGGTGCGATGTCGCCACCTTTGGCTACCAAGTGTGACATGATCCTTTCATCTAGCCAAAGACGAAATTATACAAAATGCATTTAGAATGTAAGGTACAGGTAGAAGAACATTAATTAAAAGTTAATAACATAATAATTTAACTCTTTCACATCCAATCCGCCCGACACGGCTCTACATTGAAACAACCAGAACCGCCCGAAAACGGCCGAGATTGTAATCTTCTTTTCTTCCTTCCCCCTAAGGTATGCAGTGCTAGGTGCTAGGTGCACTTTCCCCAAATGCATTGTACAAGTTTACTGCAGACAGCTTGTCCTAAGAGGTTTTTTTTATCTTTGGTCATTTCGTTGTTGATTCTTTTGTGGTACAGTGTGCTTTTAAACTTTAAACAGCAATAAAAGAGCAGTTTAAAAATTTAAGGATTATATTTATTTGTAAACAATTTATTCCTTTCTATAAAAATAACGGAAATAAACAAAATCTCAGTTGTGATCATAACAAAGCCGGAAAGGCTTGTTGATCTGACCTACAAAATAGTTTTATAAAGAAAGGGGTCAGAGGCTAATGGAATCTTTGTTAGAAAGTACAAAGGATGTCATTGAAAACCATGGAAAAGTATTTCGGGCGGTTCGGGTATTTTGAGGATACAGCTTAGCGAAGGGTCTGGATTTTAAAGAGTTAATTAAATAATAAAAAATAATTTATTAATTAACAAATAAAATTAATAAAACTTAGTAAAAATGAAAATTTAAAAATATAAATGAAATTAACAGAACAATAATTGATTGTAAATATTATTATTCAAAATAATATCATCGTAAAATCAAAAACAGCAATAAAATTTTAGAAAGATCATTGGGCTTAGGCCACAAGATTCAATATTGATATTGATGTTGCTGACATATAATCAGGCAAATTTTTCATTAGTGATCTTTGTAAGCACCTGTAACTTTCTTCCTTGAAAATAACTGCTGACATGTGCAGATACTAGAACCAAAAGGGTAATTTTCTGGTACAGATGTGTAAATTCAGATAGTCTTTTCAGATTAAGAAATCTCATTAAATTTTAATTTCAGAATTCTCTTTCTGGAATGCAAATCATCTGTAGTTTTTCTAGAGCTTTACAACAATATTTTTAATCTAAACCGATACAATGAACATGGTTACAAAATAATTTATGATTTTAATCCTCAGACAGATTATAGGCAATGCAGGCTGCTGTTGGTTTAGGCTTAATATTAGAGCATAAAGTAAATTATCATAACAGCATCGTAAAAATCTTACTGTTTTAAAATCCCGTTGTTCTAAATGATCTGACTCATCAGATGTTTCCTTTTCTAAAAGGCTTGTTAAATCCTGAATAGACGATTTCCATAATTTGTTATAAGTCCTAGGAATAAAATAAAGTGTATCAAAGAGACAGATAAAATCGGTCTTAAAAACACAAAAACTTTCATTTACTTGATTTTACGTAATCAAAGTAAATTCCATTTTCAATAATTCTTAGTATTATATGCATGAAATTAAGTAAGAATATTGCTTAAAATTACTGAAATATAGAATAAATTATAATAAAAGAAGACCTTATTTATATATTTTATTAATTAAAAAAAATATGTTCGCCCCCCCCCACAACAAAATTTTTAATACATCACTATAAAAAGGGGAGCCACATGATAGAGGATAAGTACAGTAAAATTTGGAGCAGATTTAAACATTAAACAATTCTTATCAATGAAAAACAACTTTTATCAACTTTCAAAAATTTATTTACCTAACTGATTTTAAGAGTTGGAAATTAAAATGCATATAAGTAATTTAGTCTTATAAAATGTTATGAAGGAAATTAAAATTAACATTTTCCCCTCGTTCAATGTATGCAGATTTCATTTAAACACAAAATCAGTCAAAATATAGCACAGCATTACCTTTAAGTAAGTTTATGAGAACTGCAAGAGATATAAATGGATTTCATATTTAGATTTGGGTCTCATCTACGTGTTATCTCATTATACATATACACAAATGCATATATATACATTTATCTTTCAAAAATCAAAAACCTACCTCTATATTTTTGAATTGTGAATGAACCCTAAATTTAAATAATAAAAATCAGGGGCTTTCAATTATCAAAAATGGTTTTGGACAAATTCTTGATGCAACAAGGAGAAAGACTTTAAATAATATTGTCTGATAAGTCTACTGAAAGAGCTTCTAGTTGTTAAATCAGTTTTTCTCATTTAAATTTCACTTTTCAGACATTCACATGAAATTAGGCTCTTTCATTAACATTTACTACTTTGAAATTATATTTCATTTCTCCCCCCTTTTTCTTTCTCCTAAATTATATATGAATTTTTCCCCTTCAATATGTCCTGTAAAATAATGATTTATTTACTTAAAGTATTTTCATAATATCAGCTGCTTTATTGTAGATTTTGGTTTTTTAAGTCCTAATTTCCAAAATATGTCTTGGAAACTGTAATCAAATTTCACAAATCAAGCAGAGTTTTTTTGGTCATGAAGGTGCTTTAAATATTTAAGACTCATGTCAACAAGGGTTTGAATGCAGTAATAGTATAACAGATGATAAAAGGCTTAAGAATAAATAATTAAAAGAGAAATACTAATTACTTAACAATTTATATTTTTAGAAGTACTTATATTTAAAATACTATTTATGAATATCTTTTAAAGAAATATCTCAAATTTTACTCACAGTTTTAAGAAATTTATAATGATATAAATGCTGCTGCTTGTGAAATGCTTTAAAAAATACCCAAGCTCAGAGATACCTCTTTTACTAAACTGAAGGGAGCTGTACCTACATCAATTTTTATTAACCCCTTTTACTATTGTGAGAATCAAGAAACATAAAGTAATATAAATTTATATTTTAAACATCAAGTACATAATTAATTTCTTCTTATTGTTATTTTCCCTGTAGAGGAAAGTTTTATAAGAACCACATATAATAAAGTTTTCAAGTACTAAGAAAGTAAATATAAATAAATAAAAAAAATAAATAAAAATGGTATTAAACCCCATTTTCTTTTCTTTTCCGTATTTTTTATTATAAGGTTGCATACATGACTTCGTAAAAGCTCTCAAAGAATAGTTTGCCAATATATATAGTGATGATATATATTATTATAAATTTATGAAAATATTCAACCTCTCAAAATAGTTCTAATAATGAAAAATGGAAGATTTTGGCTTGTATTCTTATCACTGCTATTAAAAGTTTCGATATTGGTGGTTGATTTTCAGTTTGCACTATGTAAAAGATGGAAAGATGGAATGGAATTAGTATTTTGTTTTACATATTTTTATCACTACTAAGAAATATTCATAATATTAAGAAATATGAATTGTTTCATAATGAGTAATAACTTTTTTAAAATATTTCATGAACACCTATTGTAAAGTTTTTAGGTTTTTTTTTTTTAAATTGACTGTGACAATTTAATAAATTACAAGAGAACTAGGATCCAAATCTAGACAGTTTTATGATATTTGGAGAAAAAGATCTGAAAAATCTGTATTTTGAGGAAATGAATTTTTACAACCTTTTAAAACTGGGTTATCACTTTGTTGTTTATATTCACAATATAATACAATATTAGTGTATCATTTTTAGTTATCACATACTGTTAAAAAGGATGGGATATAGTGAAACTAAAGATTATGTCCTAGATGAAAATTTTTTTTCTTTCTCATTTTTGTCATTCATTTGCATATTTGTATAGAATGTTTATTTTTATTTGCTTACACTTTACTGCTTATCTTAACAAGGCTTTTCTGTTGCTAGCCTTTTCTGTTTGAAGGGGGAGGAATTTAAGATAAATTTATATATTCCTGTTAAGTAAAATTCTAATTTTAATTTGCAATAGTCCCTTAACTCTTCTTTTTAATCTGGCTATTTTCTCTTCCAGACCTAAAAACAGTAAATGCTTATAACAAATATGTCTAAACTTTTCAATAATCCATGTCATATGATTTTGCATTTGCTGCTGATACAGGCACGTAATAAATCTTCAGCCATCACAAACCTTGAAATCAACATTAACATTGGAAACCATTACCTTTTGTTTTCTCTGTCACCTTTCCTCTGAATGCACCACATTATGTTTTACATCCTATTAAACTAACATGCTGCACTCGTCTTTCTATTTCATTCACTGTAATGTTATAAGAGCGATGTGAAAAGGCATGAAATGTGATGAAGAATGGACACAGATTACACACGTAATTTGTGTTTCACAATCCTTCATATTCCTGTTCTTAGTAAAAATTGTTTATTTCAGAAATACAATGCGATGAATTGTCATAACAGCTACATTTGTTTGAAAGTTCCATGGATTTATTATGCATTTATGTCTTCACCATATACAGTCTCAGCCATAGTTGAAATTATATGTGTCTTCCTGATTTAAATCATTACATACGTATATTTTTTTTTCTGCAATAGTCAGCTCTTCTTCTCAAACATTGGTTTTAGAACAGCCAATCCATCAACCATTTAGACATATCATTTGGAGAGTATTATCCAGTATCACCACAGGAATAGATTATTATACACCTGCAAGAAGGAGAATGACACCCTCCCCCCCAAAAAAACTTACACAAGATTAAATTTGCACCTGGAATTCAGATTTAACTTCCAAGTTTTATCATACCATTCAGGATCACACAGAATAATATATACACGCATATTTTTTTCATTCACTAAACTACAACATTTGACATAATAGCAAGCATTTTTTTTTTTTTTTTGGCTTTGTATATCTGCATAATTTCTAGTTCTGGGAAACAAATATTTAACTTGAAGTATTATAGTGTTGCTCCAAAATACTACAGAAAATATGAAAAAAGAATTTTTAACAATAACTACCCAAACTAAAATGAAAAAATTTAATATAAAAATTTAAAATGATAATCATTATTTCAGCTATTATTTTACTTAAAACCTAAACTTACTTATTAGTCATAATAAATGTTCCTAAAAGGAAAAAAATACTCAATTAAAAACAATAAATATTTCATAATAAAATTATTAATGTTTGACAGAAACAATTAAAATTAATAACATTTTGATTAACTGTCATATCAGATATTGCTGTTACCATAGTTACGATATTATTTTGAATGCACAGTAGGACTCTAAGCAGATTATTTAATGGAAAAATTTCTAAATCCATCAACAATTTATTATAAAATTTATAGTTTTAAAAAAAAGGCAGCAATTCCCCCCCTCCTCTAGAATTAGAGGCACAAATATATAAGCAGTTAGTGACATTGAAACTAATGCAAGTAATTGAACAGAATCATCTGGCAAGGAGCTCGGTATGAAGAGTGTTAATCAGGATGAAAAAATTTACATATCAAGGATATAAAAAGCTCATTACTTAGAGGTAAGAATAATAACAAAAAAAAAAAAAGGGTAATGAACCCATATGTCTGCACAGAAGCACATATAATAAAAAATACAAATCTAGAAAATTCGATAGGTATTGATTAATTGGCTACCGATTACTATGTAAAGTCATTATACTGATTAACACTGATAACTATAAAGAAGTGATATTTAGATGGTGCCAGTTTTATTTTTCTAGATAACAATGTGCCTGTCACTGGGTATTAATTTAGTATTTTCTATACAGAAGATCACCAAAACACAATTTAATAAATTTTTTTTTTTAAATGAAACTAAAATAGAAGGTGAGAATAAGAACTGAACATATGGGTACGACTTCATATACTATGCTAAAATCTATCACTACTAATACTAATGCTAAAATCATATCACTACTAAGAAATATTCATAATATTAAGAAATATGAATTGTTTCATAATGAGTAAATAACTTTTTAAAAATAATTTCATGAACACCTATTGTAAAGTTTTTAGGTTTTTTTTTTTTAAATTGACTGTGACAATTTAATAAAATTACAAGAGAACTAGGATTCCAAAATCTAGACAGTTTTTATGATATTTGGAGAAAAAGATCTGAAAAATCTGTATTTTGAGGGAAAATGAATTTTTACAAACCTTTAAACTGGGTTATCACTTTGTTGTTTATATTGCACAATATAATACAATATTAGTGTATCATTTTTAGTTTATCACATGACTGAGTTAAAAAGGATGGGATATAGTGAAACTAAAGATTATGTCCTAGATGAAAATTTTTTTCTTTCTCATTTTTGTCATTCATTTGCATATATTGTATAGAATGTTTATTTTTATTTGCTTACACTTTACTGCTTATCTATAACAAGGCTTTTCTGTTGCTAAGCCTTTTCTGTTTGAAGGGGGAGGGAATTTAAGATAAATTTATATATTCCTTGTTAAGTAAAATTCTAATTTTAATTTGCAATAGTCCCTTAACTCTTCTTTTTAATCTGGCTATTTTCTCTTCCAGACCTAAAAACAGTAAATGCTTATAACAAATATGTCTAAACTTTTCAAATTAATCCATGTCATATGATTTTGCATATTGCTGCTGATACAGGCACTTAAATAAATACTTCAGCCAATCACAAACCTTGAAATCAACATTAACATTGGAAACCATTACCTTTTGTTTTCTCTGTCACCTTTCCTTCTGAATGCACCACATTATTGTTTTACATCCTATTAAACTAACATGCTGCCACTCGTCTTTCTATTTCATTCACTGTAATGTTATAAGAGCGATGTGAAAAGGCATGAAATGTGATGAAGAATGGACACAGATTACACACGTAATGTGTGTTTCACAATCCTTCATAATTCCTGTGCTTAGTAAAAATTGTTTATTTCAGAAATACAATGCGATGAATTGTCATAACAGCTACATTTGTTTGAAAGTTCCATGGATTTATTATGCATTTATGTCTTCACCATATACAGTCTCAGCCATAGTTGAAATTATATGTGTCTTCCTGATTTAAATCATTACATACGTATACTTTTTTTTTTCTGCAAATAGTCAGCTCTTCTTCTCAAACATTGGTTTAGAACAGCCAATCCATCAACCATTTAGACATATCATTATGGAGAGTATTATCCAGTATCACCACAGGGAATAGATTATTATTACACCTGCAAGAAGGAGGAATGACACCCTCCCCCCCAAAAAAAACTTACACAAGATTAAAATTTGCAACCTGGAATTCAGATTTAACTTCCACAAGTTATCATACCATTCAGGATCACACAGAATAAATATATACACGCATATTTTTTTCATTTCACTAAACTACAACATTTGACATAATAGCAAGCATTTTTTTTTTTTTTTTTGGCTTTGTATATCTGCATAATTTCTAGTTCTGGGGAAACAAATATTTAACTTGAAGTAGTATAGTGTTGCTCCAAAAATACTTACAGAAAAAATATGAAAAAAGAATTTTTAACAATAACTACCCAAACTAAAATGAAAAATTTAATATAAAAATTTAAAATGATAAATCATTATTTCAGCTATGATTTTACTTAGAAAACATAAACTTACTTATTAGTCATAATAAATGTTCCTAAAAGGAAAAAAATACTCAATTAAAAACAATAAATATTTCATAAATAATAAAATTATTAATGTTTGACAGAAACAATTAAAAATTATATAACATTTTGATTAACTGTCATATACAGATATTGCTGTTACCAATAGTTACGATATTATTTTGAATGCACAGTATGGACTCTAAGCAGATTATTTAATGGAAAAATTTCTAAATTCCATCAACAATTTATTATAAAATTTATAGTTTTAAAAAAAGCAGGCAGCAATTCCCCCCCTCCTCTAGAATTAAGAGGCAGCAAAATATAGTAAAGCAGTTAGTGACATTGAAACTAATGCAAGTAATTGAACAGAATCATCTGGCAAGGAAGCTCGGTATGAAAGAGTGTTAATCAGGATGAAAAAATTTACATATCAAGGATATAAAAAGCTACATTACTTAGAGGTAAGAATAATAAAAAAAAAAAAAAAAAAGGGTAATGAACCCATATGTCTGCACAGAAGCACATATTAATAAAAAATACAAATCTAGAAATTCGATAGGTATTGATTAATTGGCTACCGATTACTATGTAAAGTCATTTATACTGATTAACACTGATAACTATAAAGAAGTGATATTTAGATGGTGCCAGTTTTATTTTTCTAGATAACAATGTGCCTGTCACTGGGTATTAATTTAGTATTTTCTATACAGAAGATCACCAAAACACAATTTAATAAAATTTTTTTTTTTAATGAAACTAAAATAGAAGGTGAGAATAAGAACTGAACATATGGAGTAACGTACTTCATATACTAATGCTAAAATCATATCATCCATAATATATTTGAAAATCTTATGCTCTAGTGTAGAATTGGGTGCCCCTTCGATTAGCGACAAATTTTTAAATTTTGGCGATGAAACCTCATTTCTGATTAGCCATGATAGTTTTAACTTTGTTTTAGCTTCATGATTTTTTTAAAATGAAAATAGACTGATGTGTACATGGACAGATTTAAGGCAGTGCACAATGCCTAGTTTGTGCACTTCTGGGATTTTTTTTAAGTGAAAACAGATCGATGTGTACATGGACACAGAGTTTATGCAATTCCTTTGACTTCTTATTTTGGTTTTGTGTAACGGCCATCTTGAAATTGTGCCTTCCTGGCGCCAAAAAACAAGGGGCACCCAATTGTAAACTTTTACCAAATCTTATTATTAGTAAATCTTGGGAATATATCTAATAATTAAAAACAAAGATTGCTTATTTCTGTACAATATCTCCATTATAGCTTTGTAACAACCTTAGTAGAAAGGATATAATGATTTATTATTATTATTATTGAAAAGTCCGGCCCCCCCCCAGAACAGGTATGTTTATTTTTGGTTAAGTTTTTAAAATTTTTAATTTGTTGGTTATTAGATTATCAACTTTAATAGCAACATTATGATAACTGATTTCAATCACAATATATTTTTCTAAATAAAGAGCACTGACTTTGATACTATGCTTGCCGTAATTTCTAAATTTCCTACCACAGTTTGAAAGTTTTTTCTTCTACTATTTGAAGATCAAACTACTGATCTCAAATGACGATAATTGAGTACATATTTTAAAGATTCATGTCTAATTCACTAAATTTGAGAGTTCTATTTTCGAAATGAACATTCAGATGCTGAAAAACCAAACAATTTAACATTTTTTATGCGAAAGAAGAGAAATATTCTTAAAGTTTGGATACAATTTGCAGGAAGTAGCAGTTACCATAGTAACCACAAGCCGTAGTGTTGCCATTTTCGTTTGATATATCAGATATTTATTCAGGGACCTTAATCACTACTATTTACTTCTATTGATATTATTGTCAGTAAAAATTATTCCCGCCAATTTTTTCCTCTTGATTACTTCCTTCGACTTTTCAAAAATAATATCCTTAGTTAATACCTGAATTAGTAAATTATTTGATGTGTCTTATTATTGGTGTGCTTCCCAAAGTTAATCGAATAAATCAGCTATTTCACTGGTCTAGTGTATGCTTTAATTGTGAAAAATAGATTCTTTAAATATGATACTCGGGGATTCATTAATCTTCAGATGATGTTAGTTTTACGACCTTGACGTTCGTGTCTTGGCCGAGATCCATCTATTGTTTATTTTTAAGCTGTCGGGTGCTTAGACACTTAGTAAATAGTTTGATGTTGACAGAGGTGTCTGATTTTGAATCACCCGGTGTTGATTTTGGCGTTGGCCAATTTTGTGTACGACTGCTTTACATACTTTTCATACATAGAGCTTGCAGCTTGAAAGTATCGTAAACATCAGTGAATTTATGTATTGTAAAGAAATTTGTTCTTTTGAAGTTTTTCAAATTATTTCCACTTGAATGAAAGAGCTGACTCAGATCTGATGATAAAAGTAAATGATAATATAGTGTTATTTTATTTTTAAAAAAATTTTGTCAGTGTTATTACCTCAATTATTCAGACACTTAGAATAGTCAGTTACCATGTTAATTTAATAAGAAAATTGCTTCTCTGCATAATTACTTAAATTACTGACATATTTAGTTACCAAGTAGTCTATAACCAGCTCCTCATTTCTTCATTGGCTTTGTGAATGCTGTTGACTTATTGGTAGAGGGTTCTCTCCCTAAGTTTATAATATTCATAACAGCAGAAATAGTAGAGCTGGAGGAGGGCATATTTTATTATTGCAACAATATCAAATATCATAAACTAGAAATTATTGTATTATTCTGTCAGCATGCCTTATTATGGAGTGAATTTCGAATATGTATATTTTCAGAGATAGCAGGATTTTATATCATTTGCAACTGATATTTAATGGATATTCAAACGCTTCAGATTTTGTTATTTTTATTTTCAGTTACTTCAGAACAGTTCATTTGTTGTGCCAAGACAGACAACATTTCAGAAATTTATTAAGTAGAAGAGATAACTTAATTTAACAGTGTTTCTAAAAATGGGAGGGGGGAAACAGTATTTCATAAATTCGTCTTTTTTTCATTCTTTATCTGTTTATGTTTGTTTTCATAGATATTGTACTCGTATGTTTTAATTCGTTTAAGCTTTTATTCTCCAATTTTCTTAATGCTAAATTTTAATTTCATTGCATAATTTTTTAAATTGCATCAAAAGATTACAGCAAGGCAAGAAAAAATTGAATCTGTAACTTTTAATTTTTGTTTTTCATTATTAAGGTACTTGATTTTCATCATAATACTTAATAGAAAGTTTTTAAAAAAAATTTTTATCAAATAGATTAAATTTGTGTCATTGAAATATCTGATTTATTTTCATGTAATGTTTTATCATGAATGGGTTTACCAGAAATTGAGCAGTAAAGTCATTGAACACTGGTAGTTTAGTCCAAGTCGGTAATTACAATTTTAATAAAGTAAAAATAATGTGACAATGACATGTATGTATGTGAATATACATATCATGTATATACATAGGCGAAATCTGTGGTTTTGTTCTAGATCCAGAAAATACTGCTACAAATAGTGAAGAAAGTGATAGAAAGTGAAAGAGGTTACTAAAAACGAAAAAATTTCGATTGCCAAGTTAGTCGAAATTCTAGACACAGCGATTGCAGGACTTCAACAATAGAACTTTGTAACTGAACAAGAAATTATATCTGTCTATAGAATTAAAGAAAAAGTGTTAGCACAAGAAACGATAAAGTAAACAAATAAATTTTAAAACTTTTTTTTTCTAAATTTTGATACCCTTTAGATCATAAATGCTTCTTTATTTCATAAAAGATGATTTCATATTTTAAATTTTGTTATTTCCACATGCCATCTGACTAGATTTAAACTGATGATCTAATATCCAAAAAAATCCGGAATCGCAGAAGTCCCGACAAGTCCGGGTCTCGGACTTTGTACTATATTAATATATATATGTAATAATAGCAAGGAAAAGATGGAGCAGTGTTGAAATAGTGGTGCTACTTTGGTAGACGGTTGCACGGATTTTGGCGAGTTTTTGGCAATTTTTCTTTTGGCGAGTAATACGACTTATGGTAAACCCATTGCTGAATAAGTTATTTATGGTAACCGATACTTTGTTGACATTTTATTTAAAAAATAATGCGTGTTATTATGCATAAATTCCATGTTTTAAATATTATTTATGGTTTCTAAATATTAAAAATCAATTTAATTTTGCATTTTTATTTGAAATAAAAATTTTATTCTTTATCATATTTTATGAAATTTTATGCTGTGGATGCTGTAATCAGTGACGTCACCTTACTTTAAAAGTAATTCGTTTTAATATCTATAAATTTAATCTAATGTTTTAAACATTATTTATGGCTGTTAAATATTAAAATACAATTTAATTTTGCACTTCTTTTTTAAAATGATTTTATTATGTATGATTATTTGAATAATTTTAATTCTAGGCGTGATGTAATCACCTCTCTGATTGATTATAGAATATTTGTGCATTATTGAGCTGTAATCAGCTCTCTGATAGGTTGCTGAAAATTTGTGCATTACCGCACCATTTTAAAATTTAATTCATATCTTCGAATTCCTTCAAAAATGTCTCCTTCAAAGATGAATGTTGTTTTTGATAAGTACCAAGAATTTTTGGTTTCAGAATCAAAAAATTGTCCTTTGAGACCGTATTTTCACCAGCCTGGCTTTCCTAATCAAAGATTTATTTATAAATTCTTACAAGGGTCAGAGGAAATTTATTTTAAATTTTTGGAGTAAACGTCGCTAATTGTTTCTTCAATGAAGTGCGAAAATGTAGATCACGGATGAAGACCGTTAGAAGAGCCGATTCTGAGACGGCTGTATATGATATTGTGGTCATGTTGGAAGAAATAACCACTGTAACGGTAAGAAAATTATTAGACATTCCTCCATTTTTACCGACAATAAACTAATTGCTGTCATTTTGGTTGATCTTTACAATATGGTAACTGGTAGTTTGGCGACATTTTGGAGGCGATAAAGGTTACTACCTGGGACTTCGGTAATAATGTGAGCAGTACTCAGTTCCAATTACGCATTATTTTGTGTGAGGGAAATGAGAGATCATGTGATATTAATAGACGAATTACGGTTCTTTAATCGGAAAAGGGGGGAAATCGGGAAAAAATCTGGAAATTTTGTATTTGCCTTTATTCTGTGTTGTGTGAAACAGTGTTCGTGAATTTTTGGATCCCATGGCCCTAACTAAAGTGAATTCGAAATGGGTATTTAGTGGGATTGAAAGGGGTAGTAAGTGTTTCTTTAAGGTTGTGCGAGATAGAAGTAAAGATGTTTTATTAAGTTATTTATTTTACTTGGTACCTTGGTGTGAACTATAAGTATGATTTTAAAGATCCTGAAATAGAAATAAGAAAAGTTTATCGGACACGTAATCAAGATTCTGAAGAAGAATAGGTAAGTTAGTATTTTTAATTATTTGAGGATATTATTTTTATGCATTGTTCTAAATGTAAGGTGGAAGGAAAGTAATTTGCGTAAACGTGCATGGAAATAATTTAAATATTTGACACTAAGTATTTGTAACCATTTGTAATGAAGTAAAGGTATGAATTAGTTAGTGATGTTTGTAATATAATAGATAATGTAGAGGTAAAAGTTTTTGGATATTTTATTTATATTATACGGGGAAATGTTCATATTTGGAAAGGGTATGTACTTTTTCGTGATCAGGTAATTTCATATATGTTCTTTTTACCGGGTTTAAAGATTCAGAAAATTGCTATGCATTTTTGTGAAATTTTTCTAATTTATGAGAAAAAAGCAGTGTACATGGATATAGTGAAGAGTGTGCGCAATGCCATTTTTGTGCAATTCTGGGATGTTTTTTTAAGTAAAAATAAGTCGACGTGTACATGGTTTAGTGATATTTTAATTAAATGATAGTTATTTTGTGAATTATATGTTTGTAGGAATTTGGTATACATTTAAGTTGAAGTAAACGTGCATGGAAATAATTTAAATATTTGACACTAAGTATTTGTAATGCTTGCGGTATGAATTCGTTGGTGACGTGTATAATATAATAGATGATTTAGAGGTAAAAGTTTTTGGATATTTTATTTATTTTATATGTGGAAATGTTCATATTTGGAAAGGGTATAAACTTTTTCGCGATCAGGTAATTTCATATATGTTCTTTTTACCGGGTTTAAAGATTGAGAAAATTGTCATGTATTTTCGTGAAATTTTTGTAATTTATGAGAAAAAAGCAGTGTACATGGATATAGTGAAGAGTGTGTGCAATGCTATTTTTGTGTAATTCTGGGATGTTTTTTTAAGTAAAAATAAGTCGGCGTGTACATGGTTTATGTGTATGTGTTATTTTGAAAAACGCGTAAGGAGTATGGTATTGTGCACTTTTTCCTAATTTTGCAGTGAATATTTGTCATGATTAAGCAGTTTTGTTAGATAAAATTTCTAGCATAAGTGTAATTCGGCTAGTAGATTGTTGGAAGAAGTGTTCAGTAGATAAAAAGAAAAGAAACATGTCTTTACTTCGTGAAGACAAAATGGCAGCGGGAAAAAAAATAGAGGGTTGCCGTAGGAGAGTTGGTCGGCAAATTTTCGCCAAAAAAATGCCAAGTTACCATAATGTAAAGATCAACCGTCATTTTAGCTCTAGTGTACGAAGCGTGCTTATTTACTTATTTTAAAGTATTTAATTTAAGTAATATTTAATTCTTTTAAATGTTGGTATGATGGTTTTTAATTCGATAGTCAATTTACGTAATTTTAATCCAATTAAACGTTGGCGCAATGTTTTATAGTGGTATTTTATTCTATTTCTATGCTATATGAAAGTAATAATTTAACCTTTCTTTAGTATTTTATACTCGTAGTAAATGTATTTATTTACACTTGCCTGCCATCTTAAAAAAAGACATTTTCAACAAAAAAATTAATCCATTATTTCTAACGATATTTATTTTTTTTTTTAAGTTTCGAATACTTTACTATGTGTAAAAACAGCGTTTTTCAAGATGGCTGAAGTTTGTAGAAATCGCGCCAACGTAAATCGCCAAAAATCCGTGCAACCGTCTACCAAAGTAGCACCGAAATAGTAATACCCAGATAGGATATATCATAGATGCATATTGAAGAGAAAGAATTCTGATTGCGTAGTATGCTAATAATGGTTACTTCGTAATATCTAAAATACTTAGCAGTCGAGGCAGTTTTAATTCCATTTTTATTTCCAGTTAATATATGTAGCAGTTCGCTTGACACTCTAGTTGTACCTTAAGAACATTTACATATATATATTTACTTTAGTATGATTGCAAATAAAATGCCTTATATATGTTTTATAATAATTTAATTGTTTGCTGCAATATAGTTTTGTGATTTTTCTACTTTTTATTGTTACAGATAGTCAAAAGGGATTAGCAACTATAAAATGACTATCCAGTGGACAGTTATAGCAACATTCTTATATTTAGAACTTTTATTTATATTCCTTTTGTTACTGCCATTTATATCACCAAAAATGTGAGTATTAATTTTTAATACAATGCTGTTTTGAAAAAAAATTTTTTTTTTTTTTTTTTTCTGAAATATTTTTCTTTTTATGCTGACTTATTTTTCTTTTTCATTTACACACACAAAAAAACTTTTAATTATCTAACAAGAGGAGTATACTATTGTAACATCACTGTTTTTGCCTGCATTTCACATAATTTTAAGAGCCTATCTAAACAGCTTATTACTTTCTGAATATCCGCAACCCCTGTTTCAACTTTTGGTAGAAAAAAATTCATATTTTGACTATTAATGGGATGATAAATAAGCCCATTTTTGCATACATTTTGAATACACACAGTTTCATACACTTTATATTTAATGGTCATTTAACTAAACAATATCTCCATCTGTGCAAAGATAAACTATATATTTTCCCCCATTAAATATCTTGTTTTTTAATAAAATACCTCTTTTTATTATTTATGAATAGAATAACACCATTGAGTCATAAAGGTAACCAAATAAATGTTTTTTTGGTACTTTCCCGTTTCGTCGTCGCAAATCTCGCCAAGCAGACTTTGTTGGCGACAGCATACAGTATACACATAAAAATTGTTAACAAAAGTTAGTTCTTAGAATTTTTTATTTTGAAGGCATAAACATTTTAATATGGTTTAAAATTTTGTAAAAAGCTAATAAATACAGACAAATGTGTAAAAAGACATTAATTTAAGAATTTACTATGCTTTCATGGTTCAACATCCTGATTTGTCGGTTCGTATCACATGACCCCAAGTGATCTTATCTCACGTAAACTACGCTACAAAAATCTAATTCTCTCAGTAATTATCTATATTAATTTCAAGTTAAATCTTAAATTAAATCTTACGGAATATAAGTTTAAATGCAAGAACTATTTCTATTCGTACGAATAGGCTTACTCATAAATTATGTATACTTTGCTAATGCATTCTCATTAGATTTGATGAATTTGCCTTTTCTATATTTTTGCCTTCGAGTGAGTGGTGTGATTGCATCCTAATTAATTACCACGAGTGGTCTTAGGGCATAAAATTTAACTAGTAAAAATTCTATGTAATTGTATGCCAGTATTGAAAGAAACAATCAATCTGATAAGAAATGGATGCGACTTGTTTTGAAAATGAAGGGTAAAAGGTTACCAGCGAAGATAGTCCATTTAACATCAGTTGTACCATTACTGGCGACTTTATTGTTTGTGCCGGCAAAACGGAAAGGTACCTTTTTTTTTTTTTTTTTTTTTTTTTTTTTTTTTTTTTTTTATAAATTGATAATTTATTAAGTGTCCAATTAGTTGTTGACTTTTCATGGAGGTGCAGATAACCAGGAAGTACCAACAACTTATTTATTTTTGTATTTATTAATTATGTAAGTTTGGCTATTAGTATAGGCTTTTGTGGCCTTAATGGTGAATTGCAGTTGTCTGAGATAGAAGGTCCATAGTGCAAATTGCAAAAGATATTCAATGCTTTTTTTTTTTGTTATTTGTTTTTACTTAGTTGTATAAAGTAAAGGAAGTAATGTAATCACAAAAAATTTGGGGCATCATATTTCAAAAAAAATATCCATTTTGAAAATTCCCAAATCTATTTGGACTATTTTTGTGCATGACATCAGCACGTACATATAGAGTAAAAGACTGTTTTTTCCAAAATAGATTGTAAAATGAATTCAAAAAGGATTTTTTCATGGTCTTTGTACGTATGTATTTATCTTGCATAACTTAAAAACGACTGACCATAGGACATTGAACTTTTGTACATGAGGGAAACTGCTATAATATCTAGTTATGCACTTCCCTATTTTATTGCAGTAGGTAAACATCTATATACAAACATATATGTTGTAATAAAAACAAACTCAGAAGTAGTTACCAGCAGGAATTTTGATGGCATCCATAATGAATAGGAAATTAGAGGCAAAGACAGATTAAATCTTTTTTTTTTTTTTTTTTTTTTTTTTTTTTTTCCAGCAAGCATGATGTGGCCTCAAACAAGTTGGCACATTAAATGTGGATAGATTTGCAGTAAGAAAGAAGGAGCAGACAGATGGCAATCCAGTTGTGCCAAAACATTGAAAGCAAGTGCATTATATTCAGGGTGAAATCTTAATTCAGACTGACTGAGTTTTGGTTTTCAATGCATTTTGATTGGGTAGTTAATATTCCTGTAAAATTACTATTGGCTGCTTGAGTGTTAGTTTCATTTACATTACCATAATTATGCAAGAGTCATATGACATGGACTAATCTAGAAATGACACAGTGCAAGTAGAAGTTACTATTTTTAGAATACAGAAGGGAATTTAATCTGTTCTTTCACATATTCTTTATTTTTCTTACATATAGACTGGATCTTCCCCTAGACCAGTACTTTTGAGAACATTCTGGCATTTTATGTAACCGCTAGTATAAATGCAGAGTTTGCACCATTTTTCATCAGATTTCTTTTTCCTGCTGCTACCAGACTCGCTGTTGCTCTTCCCGTCTGTCTTCCCTTTATTAGAACAGTTATGACGTAAGTCTAAATTTAATCTTAGTTTAAATTACTATTGCTTATGTAATTTGGAGAATTTCATCTAAAGGATGATCTGAGGCAAGAATTTAATAAAGATGTGGAATCTAAAAAGCTAAAAGCTTTCTTTGTCGTCATTTTTCAGCCTTCTTCTCAGCCACAACAATGCTCGGACTCTGATGTAGTTATATCGTCAAACTTTTGCCATTCCTGTGCCTGCTTGCCAAAATGTTACATAGATATATATACACCTAGTCATGTATATGTAATAAAAATGTGTATAGTCTTTATAAAATACCCGTATATGTAATAAAAAAGGACTGTGCAATATTGATGGTGTAGAATGTATAAGGTTGACTTTGTAATGGCGAGCAAGAATTTTGATTACTTACAATGCAAATCCATATTGAATAGGAAACTGTCAGCTGAGACAGATTAAATCTTCATTTTATTTTCAGGCACATTATTTGTGCCTATTTCAAAATGTTTACATTTTTGATAGATTTGGAGTAACAAGAGAGCAGCAGACAGCAGTCCAGATTGGCCAGAGTAGAAAGCGAATGTGTTATATTTAGGATGAAATTTTAATTCAGACTGAGTTAGTTTTGGTTCTCAATGCATTTTAATCGGGTAATTGTAATGCTGTAAAATTATTATTGGCTGTTTGAATCCATGCATCATCAGAATTATATATGCATCATCAGTCATATGACATGGATTAGTGTCAAAATGAGGCAGTGCAAAGAGAGATTACTATTTTTAGAAAAGAGAAGGACAATTAATTTACATTGCTAATTTAAATTATAATTTATCTTTTACATATTCTTTATTTTCTTACATATATATGTTACCATGAAAGACCGAAATTGGAGAATGTCGACTTTCACCGGAGAATGTCAACATTCACCAAATACATCGGTGAAAGATTGAATATTTCATTACATTCTTGTACATTCGGACCCTCACCGGTGCATGTCGTCAATTACAGATATGCTCTGGTGTAGGTTGAAAAGAGAGGAGTGTATGTACACGCTGTCATTGCAAAAGGAAGTGTTTCACAAATAAATGCAGTTTAAAAGCAAGGGCCTCTTGTGCAATTCAAAGTGCCATAATAGTTTAAGTTGTTGCAATAAATAAAATTTGAATGACGTAATTCAGTAAGATTTTAACTTCTATTATTTTCTTTCCTCATTTTGAATGTACTGTGTGTTTTACATTCTTATGTTCTTCAGTTCTCATTTTAAGTCTCAAGTGCGTTTTTTCTCGACTGAATTACGGAGAAGAAAATATAATATTCTATATGTTCAACATTCACCATTAGTACATGGTGAATGTCAGAAATAAGAGTATTTGGAAAATATTTCAAACATACACCAAGCGACTATCTGAATGTTGACATTCACCGGTGAAAGTCGACATTCTCCAAATTTTGGTGTTTCACTGTAACATATATACACCCAATATATAAGAAATATATTATTCGAAGGAGATTGATTACATCTCTAATCTTTTGGAATGCAAAACAGAATAAAAGTAGTGATTTTGTTTTTATCTTTGTCTTCTTGGAGATTAAAAAAATATATCCTGCCTAAAAATAGTAACTGCTGTAAAGTTATTTAAAAAAACTGAAAATTTAAATAAAACCCTGTTAATTCAGAGACAACTGACATATTTTCTTCATTAAGAAGGGTTAAAAAAATCATTAGAGTTTTATTTGAACCTCATGCTACCTGCAGTTTCCGTGATTTTAAATTTTGGTATTTTCATTCTAGGCAAGAAATGACTTTTCTTTATTAAGGAAATGGATTAGAAGATTATGTAATGCTGACAACAGCTGAAAATAACCTAATGTATATTGCAGTCTCTTTTTTGGGGGTGTCAGTTAATTTTTTCTCACAATTATTTAATGTCTAGTTTTTAATTAAAATTTTACATGAATCCATCAGTTATGCAACTTCCTTTGTTTTTAATAACTTTTTGTAGCGTTTAACATTTTTAATAACTGTTCCACTAATATGCCATTATCTTTGTTTCAGAAATTCCAGCATTTAAGCATAAAGTGGGCATCAAGCTATGTTTTTAACTCCACGCCATTATGAAATGAAATCTAATTAATAGTTAAAAGTGATTTGAAAAATCTGATAATCTGAAGGTGTATTGCAAAGCAGTTATGGTTGAGCTTTCTAGTTAAATTCATGAACAGTAGTTAGGGTCATGAGGACCAACATTGTTGCATTAAAGAAGCATTTTTGTTTACTAATTGGGTCATTTCAAATAGACTGCCTGCCTCTTAGAGGGTTCGATAATTGTAAAGCTGTGCATTAGCCTTGTTGTTTTCAAGCATTTCATAAAAATTACAACTTCCATGCCTGAAGACAAAGTTATCAGATTGTTTATATCCCCATTCAGCAGTTCACTTTAGAGTAGCACACATTCTTTTGGGTGAGTCTGTGAGGTCAAATTTTCACTTCTTGTAATATGAAAGCCATTTCTATGTAGTTCTTTCTGTAATGCCATCTTCTTTGTACACAACACAGTAGCTTTGAAATCTTGAATAAAATCAGCAGAAGCAAGTGCCAGAAATTCTCATATTTATCTGTTTGTCATTCCATTGTTGGCACTCCCTTGTTCATCCAAAAATGATAAATAAAAGTTAGAGAAAGTATAATGCTACAAGAAATATATATATAATATATATATATATATATATATATAACACTGAAAAAACATTTTTTTCCTACTTCAAGGAACATTGGGGAAAAAATCAGTGAAGTTTTTTGAGAACTTAATAATTACTTCCAAATATGAAATAAAACAAAGATTTTTTTTAAATTGATTATTATAAGAAATAATGTGTATAAGTATACTAATGTGTCTTGGCTTATTTCAGATGGAAATATATTTTTCACTCCCGCATTTTCAGAGTGATTGCATCAAAAGCAAATATGTATTTCACTATATTTATCATTGTGCTCATACTGTTCTTTTTAGGTAAGTATCTAAAGATTAAAATCAAATATTTAAAAATCTTAATTAAAGCACTGTCATGACTTTTAATTATGTGTAAAACAATAAATTGCGGTACTTTTTGATTATCACCCCCCATAAAAAAAAATGTCACCAACTCATTGACAGCTTTGGTGGTAAATGTTTTTTCGGCTGCCTTTATGGTTCAAAGGTAATATTCGTTTATAAATAATAAAAAAGAGTTGGATTTTATGAGAAACAAGAAGTTTACAAGAAGAAATAAAATTCAAAAATATATGTGGACAAAATTTATATTTTTACAGCCAATGGACACTATTGCCTGAGTGAACCTTCTTCACCTTCGGAAGAATTGTTAGCCGAATTTCTTCAAAACAGTTTTTTTTCTTCTCGATTTTGCTTGCTGGGTTTCTTGGTAAATAAATTCAGCAAGTTAAAAAATGATATTTTGCATTCTCTACTTTTTGTTTCTTCACTTGAACAAACTCAAAGTCATTCAACATATTGAATGTGGATGCAATTTTTCTGGATCCATTATACTAGTATATACACTTTCCAATGGTTGTAACTGGCTTCGTGTAGTTCATAACTGCTACATCCCATCTAGCTATAGAAAACGATGATAATTCCATCTCTAATGTGCTTTAATATTTTTGCCATCAATGTCACTGGTCTAGTATCTGGGTAGTCACCACAGACATGTTCTTTATTGTTACATGTCCATGTAGAAATCTCTTCAGAAATCAGTTCCTGTGGAAAAACTTGCTGAATGTTATTTTTATGTCTCATAAATACTCTGCCAATTTTATTCATCTCATAAATACTCTGTCAATTTATTCCGTCTCATAAATACTCTGTCAATTTTATTTTTATATTAATTTATATTATTATCTAATTCTGTCAATTTTATCAATGCATGTCATGTCACCTATTTTTTTATATTCTTCATTTTTTGTAGAAGACATACACATTTGTCAGATGATTACATCAGTAGATATGTGTTGGGTGATATCCCAATTCTTTAGAGACTTTGACTGACTTCTGTCCAAAAATAAATTAAGCAAGCATAAAGGAGATACAACTGTTTACAGACAAATTTGTCACCTGCATTCTAACACTTTTTTTTCCCCCAGTTTTTTACTTTAAAAGCCCATAAAAATCATAAAAAGATTCTAAACTTAAAATCTTTAGCTTTAAGACAATGCAACTTTGTAGAATTTGACTTTTAGCATTTCATATTATTTGTCATAATAATGTATTTCTGAAGAAATCCAATCATTTTAATTTAATTTTGTCAGTCAGCGAATTCTTCTGTTCAATTATGTTTCATAGAGGGAAAAAAAGCACTTTAAGGGAGAAAAATAGTGATTAGGAAAATGTTGGTTAAATTTAATAAAATTAGATCTACATGTACTCAAATACATGTGTAATGTGTGCATTGTTTTTATATAAATATGCCAAAGTGTAACAAAAACATGGCAATACTGAATGTTAAAAAAAAAAATTGGGATGGATGGATTACAGATAAGCAGAAAGATTTTTATTAATTAAGATATTACTGTCGATAGGAGAATGAAATTAGTATGTGTTATATATAGTAAAGATCTTTATTAACATTCCATTAATATTTCACAAAATCCTGTTATAGTTTTATATCTCCTGTATTTGATAGTAGAAGGTTACACTCAAATTACACTTCATGTAAATACTGAGTAACCTTACTTGATTGCTAGATGACTTTTTATTCTTTCTTTACTAAATTACTATTCTTTTTTTATGAAGTCCTAGGAGATAAATTGATAATAACAAGCATATGAAAGCAACTGAAATATTTATTGGTACTTCAGCTTAAAGATAGTAAGGAGAATATAAAAATTTCTTGCAGCAAAATACATAATAATTGTTTGATAAATTAAAAACCAGATATTAATGACTGAAAGCCTAGCTCCTAAAACTAATATGCCTGTTCTCGTAACTACCCAACTAATCAATAAATCAGTACATCACTTCACAGGTTAACTGATCAATGCATCATTCTAGTAGGAAGAAACAGAATCATTGCATTCTGAATCTAAGTTGTGAAAGTTCTTTCTTTAAATTTAAATTTTTACTTATTATTTAAACTCAATTAATTGCATTTTCTGGTGGGATAGATGAAGCAATAGAAATGTGGAAAAGATTCAACATCAGAAATAATGTACTAAATAATGTAAAAAACATTATAACTGTGCATTTAATACATCCATGCAATGTCAAAAGTTTGACAACTGTTTTAAGGTATTTGTACTGTTCCCTTTTGTTTTGCTCAGGAAAAAAATGTTATCACTTCTCTCCTGATTTGACAAAAGCAGATGTTTAATGGATAAGCCCATCAAATTTTAGCATGTACTTTATAAAAGATGACTGCAAAGAGATCTTGTATTGTCATCCTTGAAAATGTGTTCTCGTTTCACTGGCCTAATTTGTTCATTTTGTAATTAAGTTTTTTCAGCATTTCTGTGTAGTGAGCTGCATTCTTCATATAGCCCTTGTGGTAAAATGTCTGTTCCCTAGGTTGCGGTGGCAAAAGTATATGTCACACGTTATGATAAACAGGAATATAGTGGCTACTTACACCAGGACAGGATCCAGGTCAATTGAATTATTGCTTTATTGAATACTACCAATGTTGAAGAAATATTCTTTTTTTCTAATATGTTGTGTCACAGGGTGATATGAGGCCTCCTCACTCAGAAAAATTAGTAGATCAATGCTTCCATGTAGCCCTTCGAAGGCGTGGTATATTGCAGCTCAGGTATATTGCAGCAGGCGTGGTATGTGCAGGTGCTCTTCATCGGGATGAAATCGGTTGCCGGGCAAAAAAAAGGCCAAGCCCGGGAAGAAAGAGATCAGCTTAAATTTTGTAGCTACAGCATCAGAAAGAAAGAAAACTCACTCCTTCATACACACAGGGAGACTAAGAGAGCTTGCACGATAAATTCCAAAATTTTGCATATCACCCCACTCCTACCGTTTTTCTTCATGCAGCATCTCCATATCGCACCTTCACAATCTCCTCCTCTCGAGGTGGACAAAATTACCGCCTTTTATAAAGTTCAACAGTTATACTCACAGTTAAATTTTGCAGCCAATGAAAGAAATCCAGCGGCAGAAGGCAACCAATCGCAAAATACCTTCAGCTAACCAGGCAAACAGAAGTTAAGTGGCTAGTTGTCTGATGCAATACTTTCATCCGCTTACAACAGTTGTCTGATGCAATACTTTCATCCGCTTACAACAGTTGTCTGATGCAATACTTTCCTGCAACAGTTGTCTGATGAAATCTGTTCCTCACCTTACAACACAAGTTGTAAGGTGAAAAAAATGAAGTTGTCACCAGTGGAATCTGATGCAAATATCTAAATATTGCCATAATGTTGTAAAGAATTAATTCAATGTGACCTTGTCACAGCCAAGCCTTTCAAGAAGTTCATAGGGATTATAGCCATTGCAGTCAGCCTTTTTTAGTTAATTTTTCTTCTTGAGAAATTGTTTATGGAATGCTTTTAAACCAGAGTTTTCAGCTTTAAATCCATGTTTCATACACTCTTCAGAGACCATTGCTATTCCTTCTTTTGATTTCATATATTTCTGCTGAAACCATTCAAAAACTATAAGGTGTAGAAAGACTTTCTGTCTGAAAAAAAGAATATTCTGTTGTATTATGCTATAGTTTCAAGTTTATACATCCTAGAAACAATTTTCCTGAATATACAGCAGAAGAAATAAAAGTTCCTATTTATATTTACGTACAGTTACATTAATTACACAAAGAAAGGGCAGAATTCTCATTAATATTTTTCCCATGCAAATCTGTTGAAAACGAATGTGATTCTTAGAAAATACAGTCACAGTTCTTAAATTTTCCTGAGTTCTAACACACAGCTCCTACTGCCCTGAGGTTGAGCCATCCTGTTTCTTGCATTTTTAATTTAGCTATTTTTTGCTGTTTTATGTAATTTTCAATATTTTATTATGGATGTTGGAGCTGTTTTTCATGTCTCAGGTTGGTAAAAAATTGTCATCTGAGGTTGGATTGTGGGAGGGTTAGGCAGATAATCTGTTATTTTATTAATATGTAATAGATCAATAAAAACATACTGATATTTTAAAATAAGATTTAAAATTATACACATAACAGTTGAACCTATAAAATAATTACAAACTCTACCCACATACTGATCTTTTAAAGATATTGCTACGAGTTTGCAACTCTGGGTATAGTTTAACATTCTTGAAACATTCAAAATACTTTCTTATTGTAGAGATTTAATTTTATAGAATATATTTGGCAAAAAATGGAATATAAAATTTGAAAGTAAAATATTTCTTCAGAATAACAATCTGGATTATTAATGTAAAGTAATTAGAGAAAATTAGGTTGAGGGGACTGTATTTGATGTAAATAGAACACATGGCATATCATAAATAAAATCTCATTTTAAAATTTCATTTAATGTATCTAAAATTTTTGGCAATTTTTTTTTTCGGAAATCAGAATATTAGTCCCATTACTTTTTTTGAGACAATATAAAATTATTTTTAAGGTTCTTATATGCACCCTAAGATTGCCAAATGTGGCGATATGTGTTCTGCACTGGTTTTTGGCACAATTCTGTGCTGTGGGATGGTTTGGTGGACTATGCTTTTTGTATGGCAACCCTTTTGACATTGAAACTCAGAGATGTGGTGGCAAGATTTCAGTCACGTATGTTAGATTGTGTGGAAAGTAAATTTAGTATGATGTTGGAGTTGTTAACGAGTCTTTTGTTCACGGGTGTGTTTATGCGGATAAAAGTGCATTTTTGGAATTTCTGTGAGAGTCAGGGCTTCTAAAACGGAGTTTGGCGTGTCCAAAATGCAGAGCTGATGTGAGAAGTCGGATGAAGAATGGTGTTTCTGATAGACTTGTGTGGGTTTGCAGTCAAATGGTTGCTGCTAAAGTATGTGGCTGTCAGCGAAGTTTAAGATTCAAATTGTGGTTTTCGTGTAGTAAGTTAACTTTGGAGGAAGTTTTTATCATTACTTTTGAAATTTTGAATCACAGAAAGACATGTGATATAGCAAAATCAAACAGAATGCTGTGTACATGGTATTCTTTGAAATTTATTGTTGTTATGTTAATTTATTAAAGCGAGGTGTGCGTAGTTCATAGATTCTTTTGCTGCCTAGATTGTGCAATTCGTAGATTTTTTTAAAGTTAAAACATATGGCTGTGTACATGGATTCTTGTCAAATATTTTTGGTTAGAAACTTTACATTTTTGCTATCTAAATTTTTTGTTTTCATTTCAGATTTTTAGCATAAATTGTGTGTTCAAAAATTGGTTTTTGCATGTGCGAAAGCATAATCATAAGCTGAAAAATCATCGCTTTCGCTATCTTGCATCATCGACATAATTTTATTTTTTTCCCAACGCATGCATCCTTCTTTATACATTACTAATCCACAAGCCAACGTATACTATACAATGGGGAAACATGCGACCAGTCCCTCCAAAAGAACCGCGCAACCAACAAAATTTGGCAAACTGTCAATCAAAGCTGAATATTTCCTTTCATTTCCTCCAGACCGAGTAAAACCATGATAAAAGAAATCGTACTAACAAATTCTGCTTCGCCCGAGTTTTCTCGGGGTAATAATTAACTGCAATATATACGAACCCGAGATAACTCAGGATAATCAGGCAAGCGGTTAAAAGCTTATTATACAGTAAATTAAAGAAATTCTGTGTGGTTTTATTTTGCTTTATTTTTTAATTTTACATAACTGAAAATTATCCTACATGATCATGTCTGAACAAATTCATTCTTATGTAATATAGTATGTGCATTTATTTTGTCTAACATTTGCCAGTATTTTTCAGATTCTGTTCGAGAAATGATGAAATATTCTCACAAATCTACAAAAGATTATGAAGCAGAACTTCAAATCAATATGAAACTATTTCGGTCACAAAGGAATTATTATATATCTGGGTTTACTGTTTTCTTATGGCTGTAAGTAGTAGTAAATAATAAATTGGAACTGTTTAATTAGATTTTAATGTTTAATTAGATTTAATGTTTACAATGTATCTGTTTCAACAACTTTTTCTGTAAAACCTCATGATTAATTGTGTTGTGCGAGTCATAGTTGCCAGGGGCCTCAATAAGTTTTAAAAAAGGCTGTATATTCTCCGTGTCTTAATATTTAGGACCACAATAGACCATGTGAGGGAGAGCATTTCCACTTTGTAAAATTGTCGCCGGTAGAATTTTGCATCATTACTTATGATCTCTTTAATCATTTCAATAAGTAATTATAGCACTACCTTCCATTGTCTGATTTTTTATGTAAGAACTTGACATGATTAATGGAGTTGTGAAAGTCACAGTTGCCAGAGGCCCTGATAAGTTTTTAAAAAGAGTGTGTATTGTTTGTGCCTTAACCCTTTGACTACCAATGGGATATATATCTCCCACTAAAAGTTTAAAAGGAGAAGGAGAGAATCAAAATTCATTCAGGAGGAGAGAAAGGAGAATCTCCTGAAACAGTGAAATGAATATCCAATATGTAATGTTGAGTTATGCAAAGAGTGCCTTACCCTGTACCATATGATGTAAATCTGTTTCATATAATAAAGTTTTCCAGCTACAATTGCCTTAGGAAACTGGAGTAAAATTTGATTTCACATTATTGTAAGCATCTTTTGAGAAATATTTAGAAACTATTAATATATTGAAAGTTTTTCTTTTAGAAAAACTTTCATATTTATATATATATATATATAATATATGAGGAACGTGGTATAAATTCCAAAAATTTGCATATAATTTTTTTTATTTCACTAACTTTCATCAGTCTTAAAATGCAGTTTTTCAACATAAACCTCACTTAATTGAATGAATGATGAACTGAATCATTTCTTTTGAATGACTCTCTGCTCATTAAAAATAACCTTTATGAAGAACATCGAGAATGAGGAGAGAATCAAGCATTTAGTGAGGATGGATTGAAGCGTGGAAAGAATGGAACAAGCAGTAAGATTGGGAATGGTTAGACATGTTGAGTGAAGGGTGAAAAGAAATGAATTGAGCGGTGGAATCAGAATAGCTAATGTCTAAAACTGATTTCTTTCAACTGTAGTCTTGAGATTACCTAAGACTTCCTTTCTGCAATAATTCTAGAATGAAAAGTTTCCAGAAAGTTGGGGAAAAGATAAAAATGAAAGTCATTTTCAAGATGCGAGAATAAATATTCTTGTCTTCCTTAACCACTTCGCGCCAGGTAGCGCAAACGTGCGCTTATCGCGGAGGCCGGCAGTATCTACGCGAGCGTCTGTCCAGGGCCGTGGGCTTTTCTTGGTATTAAGCCTAAATCCATGAAATTTCCGAAGTATCAACGCATTGTTTAATAATGCTCTATAGAGTATTTAAATGGCTTATGATTTATAGATATTTTTATATTTACTTTAATTACCTTATTTCTTGTTTAAATGCATATTATACACATTTTATTTTCATTACTCACCATTTTATGACTTTTAACATTATACATCTGAAAACTAAATATATTACTTAAAATTCTCTTTTCGTATGAAAAATTTGAAAACAGGGATCTACACACAGTCCTACGTTACATTCCTTGCACTCGTAATAACTCATTTGCCGTTTTGGAGGATTTTTCCGGGAACGTGAACAAACGAAGCATCGTCGTCTCATTTTCTTATCAGTCTCTTCTGAACAAAGTTTTGGAAAATGTCTTTCAGTTAATCTGAGTGGATTTAATGATTCTGCTGATCTTGGTGTGATATTAACATTGGTGCTTTTAGAGGAATACCAATACATAATTTGATTAACTAAATTAAGCCAATAATTCAGGAGAGGAAGATTTTTTTTACTTTTTTGCTTGAAAAGAGTATTGGCGTTAAATACAGCCATATCCATGATATTGAAGAAAAGCTTCTTGATAACCATTTAACAGTTTTCTGACAGATGGGTACTGAATAATGATGGAATCGCTTAAATCTACTCCTCCCATATTTTTGTTGTATTCTAAATTTTCTATTGTGGATGACCATGGAGAAGTACTTGCTTTTGATGTACTCGGCATACAGATGTCCGAAATGTCCTCATCATCATTAGATTCGCCAGATTCTTTATGATCAGAATATATCATAGTATCACTATCACTACTATCAGAATCTGTTTCAGAATCGATATCTGAAACATTTTGCATCATTTCTGCTATTTCATGCTCTGTTAAACATTTTCAACGCTTCGACATTGCAACGGTAAAAACAGAAAGAATTTACGTCTAACAAGATCTAATTATTTTCTAAAAACTTAACTGCAAACCGAAATACCCAACGCTTTAGCGAAAATAAAACTTCTCTACTTACAATAAACGACTACCACGTGCGAATTTAAAGAGACATCATAAATCACGCCATTTGGAAACATTTATTTCCCCTTTTGTTTATATAATCAAAACACGTGTACGTGAGTCATGCTTCTCTCATTTCAAGTAGAAGGTCTAATGTACATGTATCTGAAACCATATGGATATACAGTGCCATCTTGTGGTAGAAATTATAGTTTTTAAAACGCTCCAGGACACTGGCATAAATACGTGACAGTCGGGGCTGAATGGGAAAACGCTCTGTCACGCCTGCGTGTCAGCCGGAAAGTGAGTGTGTTCGTTGCTGGCACGTAGACGTGACAGTTGGCGCGAAGGGGTTAAAATGGTAATCAAAATTCCCTGACATATTTGCAACATGAACTCTTTTTTGGCAAAACAGGTATTTGTTCACTCAGTAAAATGAATCAACTTGTGAACAACTAGCACATTTGGGTTCCTGCCATACTCCCAACAAGAACTCTCAGTGACTGTAAATGAGAACTCCATTTTCTGGAAGCAACTGTTCTTTTCATTCATTTAAGTGAATCAGCTCTGGAGCAGATCGATCGCATCTGCTATAGATATATGTGTTACCATGAAAGACCAAAATTGAAGAATATCGACATTCTCCGATGAATGTACGAAATACATCATTAAAAAACCAAATATTTGCTTCACTGGTATATGTGACGAGCACAAATATGCTCTAGTGGAGATGAAACAAGAAGAGAGACAGAGAGGTGCTGTAAAAGCAAAGGACTCTTGTGCAAAGCGTCATAACAGTTTAAGTTGTAATAAATAGACTGTATAACGTCAGTCACATAATTATTTTTGGCATTTTTTCTTTTCTCATGTAGAATGTTTCTCATTTAGAATTCTTTTTAAAATCAAATTCAACAGTTTATTTAGATGTATTTCTGTTTATTTAGATGTGTTACTGAAGCTTTCTTCTAGTTTGACATATAATGTGTTTTAATAATAAAATATTATTTAAAAATGTAACAAAAATATATTTTATTAAGCATCCATACATGGGGAATTTTGAATTTCCCAGTACAAGTGAGAAATAAGGGTACTTAGCAAATATTTCAGATGTACACCGAGCGATTAAGTGAATGCTGACATTCGTTCAGAATTTGTGCAACGTGATTTTCTGTATTTTTTTAATGTTTCTAAATTGAGCCATGGTATTGTCATTAAAAATGCTTATGCTGCTGCTTCATCAAGATGATATCATTATGTAATGACTTTGCAACTCATTTTGCAAAGATTTTGCAGATTAGAGAGCTAGAATCATTTTTCTTTCCTCCTCTTCCAGACACATTTCTTCCAAAATCAATTGCTACTGCTGAAGTTGTAGTAGTTCTTTCTCATTGTTTATGGTCCTGTAGTAACTTCTCCATGTATTCATTGCTAACTTCTGAGCCTAGAAACACAATATCATAGATAACATAAGAATTCTAAGTGCCAAAGCACTCAGTCTCCACATGCAACCTGATCAGGCCATAATTTTCTTAAGGTCGAATAAATTGACTTTTAAGCCATTTTCTACCAGGCTTTGTTAATGATAGGTAAGCAAAGGATGTGTCTGAAAGTCCCTGAGTATTTATGTGACATAGTGTTATGTGGTTACTTTCAACACCTTTGAAAATTATGTTGAATGTTCATAAATTGAGCCACCATTCATTGTCCAAGACGTTTTTTGTTCAGATAATTTGTTAATGAATCAAATAATCTTATCTCTTATAAAAATGTCCTTGTTTTCAAAGTTAATATTATCATCAAGAAGTTTTTAAAGTAATTTATTTTATTTTAATTCGTTAGTTATTGAAAAGGCTAACCTAAGAGATGGATTTGCTACGTGCAAGAAATTTTAACACCATGTAGTCTTTTTATGGACAAGATTCAAAAATTCTCACTAATGTAAAGAACATAGTCTTTCCTATCTTACTTTGGAACAGCCATTTAGCACTGAAAAATGAAGCCATCTGTAAATCAACAGATCTCTATTCATATATAGGGTACTTATTTGGGCAATTGCAGCTGAACTGAGCTGTTGCATAATTTCAAGTCAAATTTTACTTTTTTTTTAGAAATAAACAAATTTTTAAAATGTTTTATTTGATATTTGACAAGTGTGCATTAAAAAACACTTATAGTGAGTAAACTTAGCATGATTGTTTTTGCTATGAAAATATTTTAATATTTATAAACCCTGTCTGCTATGAATCACAGTGTAGAGTGTTAATATTTTTCAAAATGCAAGTCTCATATTTAATGTTACATTTATCAAATATGAAATTTCAGTATTGTGTGTCCAATTTCACAAAGGAAAAAACACAAAATATAATTAAATGAAATAATTTATCTTTTGCTATATTTTATTTGTTTCTGTAAGTTTCCAGTAAATATACTGTAAAATATGAATAATTACATATCTCATAAACTCTTCCCAATGTTCAAATGGATAAATTTTTAAACAAAATAAATGATTCCCGAGAGTCATTAATTAATATTTCTACAGTATTCAAGTGTTTTAAATGTGCATATATTTAGCATATGCAGCTAAAAGCTAATATATTTTATGTACATTTTATTTTTTAGAGTAATAAGAAGACTTATTGTGCTAATACTGGAAGAAGCAGAGCTTCTTGATGAGAATGAAACTGCCATGAAAAGAGCTCAAAGTGCAACAGAAACTTTTCAAAAACTTCAAAGAAAAGAAGTATGTGTAAAATAAATAAATAATTTAAAAAATAAAATAAAATGAGCTTAAAAATTATATATATATTTCATGAATTTGTTTGAGAAGCAGATATAGTTGTAATGTTTTAGGTGTTCCGTATAAACATAAATTTAATATTTATAATTCTGTGTATTGTAGAAGTTGTGAAGATTATATCTGAATAAGCTGCCAATTTTAAAAGGCTTGACTTAGAAGTTAACACATTTTTTAATATAAAGTTGATAGTTAACATTTTATATTACTTATCTAAATAATTCAGACTTATGGTATTGAATATTTTTACTGTTTATTGTCTGTCTTCCTTAAAATGCATGGAGTATTTTTTAAAACCAGCTTAGTCTAAATTTAGAAATATGTTTTTGCATTTACTATGTAAAATATTTTTAACTGTTACTTGATAATCTTATGCTGATATTTATATTAAGTAGTTTGCTTTGTAATTTTCTATGAACTAACTCCTGTAAGACTGAGTTATGTGTATATTATTGTACATATGATTTATTTGTTCTTCTTGGCATTTGCATTTTATTTTTTAGGAAAACAAAGTCCGCCTAATCCATTCATTAAATGTTCAAAGTGGTGAAGAAATAGAATTTCTTAATAAAGAGCTTAAAGAAAAAAAGTGCAGTAAGTTCTTCCTTTAAATGAAAATTTGTTGAATTAATTTGTATTAATTTTAAAATTTATATTATAACAGAAAATTCTTGTTCCAAAATGGAATATTATGTACTACATAAAACATAATTCATTTTAGTAACTTTCTGTAAGAAATATTTAATTTCTTAAAATTTCCAGACTTGTAAAATAAAGTCCTATTATTATTAAGTGCAGGAATACTCATGCAATTGAAGAAGGTTCTATATTCAAACCTTTGAAACTAGTCCTGCAAATTTATGAAAATTATGTAGATTCTTGTTGCTTTAGTATCTTCGAGAATCATTATTTGGCATAACTCAAAGCTGTAATATTGATTGTTGCTATTCTGCTGTGTCTTCTTCTGCCTTTATTGCCATTTTATAGTAGTGTAAGCAAGTATTGGCTTCTGAAGAAACTGCTTTGTTTCTTAAGTTCCATGTAGAGAAAAATTTCGTAACTAGTTGTTGTTTCCATAAATGGTTGTTACATCTTTTGAAGCATCTGTCATGCAAATCTTTTGTCATCTATATGATGCTTAAAGCTCACTACAAGACTGCATAAAGGCACTATATTTTTAAATCTTTGAGTATGTGTAGTACATTTTAAATTGATTGTATACATTCATTAGTGCATATGTTTGTATAATTTCATCAAAATTTCACTAGCATTTTGGCACTATTGCATTATTGGCCCACTATCCTGCAAAGTTGTCAGTCATTGGTGACTAATTTTTTGCAAATTTAACATACGAAAAACAGTAGCCACTTTAAAAAATAACAGCATGCTGAAAATTATATAAAACAACAGATTTATGAAATAAAAAATGCAAAAGACATATGTAGTAGAACAGTAAAAATTACATAAAGCAAACATCCATAACGAAACACATAGAATTTAATAAAATAGTAGCAAATTAACGAAATTAAAAGTGGCAACAAATGCCCATAATAAAACACCCTGTTTTCTCAGTTTTTTTGTGTCTGTGCACAGCAATCATTTTTAGCTGAAAAAAATCAGAGAATTGTACAATTCTCAGCATTGCAGAGCAAATTGGCACTGCTGTTTATGTTCACACTAACCTGTTTTAACTTAAACATTACAGAATTGCACAAAAAACTTCATGGAATGTGCACTCTTAGTAAGCAGAACGCCATATTTCGTAAAATTAAATGCTTTCTTTTTCATTAGCAGGCAAACTCCACAGTGGCGTACAAGGGGGAAGAACTCCACAAACTAATTTACAACAAACAGAAATCACAAACATGACCCTTGAATTTCAAAATTGTGTAAATTACTACCAAGACTACTGAGATAGATTGTGATATTACATGCTGGCATGCGACCATTAGTGGGTTTGCAGATAACATATTTGCAGATACAGATAACATATTGCAATTTGTGTGGTGATTCTTGTCAAGATTGGGCAGGTAATGCAATGGTTCCAGCATTTTTAACAGAAATTAGCAGCCTGGTATATTCATTATGTGTGATGTATACCTGAACAAAGTGCATTAAAATAACAGCTATATAATAATTAAATTTATAAAATAGGAATTCCTATTGATGAGATGAAACAATCTGTAATGGAAATGACATTTGATATATGAAAAATGTGTGCACAGCTTGGTAGTCTAAATGCCCTATCTCTCTTGACTGCTAACACTTTTGCTTGCTTGTCTTTAAATTGAAAAGACCTTGCTTTGTGAATAGTTGTAATTTGACCTTTGATTTAACTAATGAATAAATACAGTCTAGTTGAGTGTGTGGTTATCTAAGCAACCTCTAAACCTACCTGTAAAAACAAATCTTAGTCCTTCTTGTTACTCTGAAGATTTGAAATTTAACTTTTCTTCCCTATTTAAATTAGTTCAGAATTTAAATTTAGCATTAATAATTAATATTCATAGTATATTAGTTTAGCACTGAGGCATTTTTCTGTTAATGGGCTATAACTTAGTGCCTTAGTGATGGTGTAAATAAAACTAGATGCAGTCTTAATGATGCATACAGTTTCATAGATGACTAATAAATCCAGAACGAATACAAAAAAATAAGACAGCTATTAATATATGAAAAAGATTTTACCAAAGTAATTTCAGATTACATAGGAGGCATAAAACTGCTGATTTCATATAACATTTCTGAAAACATTTGTTTTTTTTAATGCAATCACCATCATGCCATGTAAATTCATTGAGGTAGGAAATTAGATGGTTATAATTAGTGCGCAGTGATGTTTATTTTGCCATTTTGCATAAGACATCCAGTATCTAGATTGATAGCATTATATTTACAGATGTTCAGATCCAGCAGCTGCCATTTCTTCTATTAACTACTATAAACCTAAGTTCATGGACTGGTATTCATTCTTCCTCATTATTTGCGACAGCATTATTGTATAGCTATTCGGGAATAGGATATAAATTGGCTAACACGTTTTAAACATGAGCTGTTGATAGAAACCTACCAATATCTATTATTCTTAATTTGTTTTATCCTTTAAATAAGACAGGATCAAGAGAAAATGTGATGGGAGTGGATTTAAAAAAAAAAAAAAAGTAAACAAAAAGATGCAAATGCATGGCAAAACTGAGTTTACTTCAAAAAGCAAATCTTTCTTAGTTTATTTCTGTCTTCTTAAATTTTATAAATTATATATTACTAATACAACAGGAAAAATTTAAAATGGTGTTTTATAAAAAAATTTATGTGATAAATATGTATACTGTGTTAAATTTTCTAGCTAAGAATTTTAAAAAGTCTAATTTAGTAAAAAAATATAATGTGTGATACAATCAATAAATGCTTAAATGCAATTATTTTAGAAGTTGACTTCAGGTGTGACAAATTACTAAAATCAGTATATAAGGATAATTTTACAGTTAATTATCCTTATATACTGATTTTATTAAATTTTTAATTAATACAGAGGTTAAGTATCCTCATTAGAAATAAGAGCTTGAAAGAGATCTTTTGACATAAAATATTAATCTTGAAATACATTTTAATGCTTAAATTATTTGCACATGAAAATCATTTTTAGAAAATTCTCTTATCATTTTATAATTGCAGATATTTCCTTTTTATGTATGTTCTAATTTCAATTACTTTTTCAGAATTGAATTCTGCAGAAAAGGATATTGAAGATATTAAATCTCGTATTGAATTTACTACAGAAGAATACAAAACCATGCTCCTAGAGTACAACAAATTAAATACAGATATTGAAAGTAAGTAATAGAATGGGCTAGATAACATTTGGTCTCCATTATATTTGAACTATGAAACTTCACGCAAATAAAATTTGTAACAATTTCTAATAATTTTCCATTCATATTTGTACTTAATTTTCAAATTTTTAAATATTTTGCCAAAATATTAAGAAAAAATAATTTGTATGTATTTTTAATAAAATTTAAAATCTGTTGCAGGTGAACATTCTTCACTGTAAAAAGAAGAATGAAATATCTGAGTGCTTCAGAAGCTGTTTATTAATTATATTTTGTGTGTATATTTTTTGTTGATTCAGCTGTTTGTCTTACTTTTTTCTTCAAAATACAGCCATCCCATGCTTTTCATAGATAATAGATATTATTTTATATAGCTAAATTCAAAATTACTATTTTGTGGCATTTGCATTGAATTTTGCAGTTTATGCGAGTTCCTATAACTTGAATAATACATTTATCTCTGTTTAAAAAGATACTCTTTTAACAATTCTCTTTATATGAACTATAGAAATGTTGAATAGTATGTATCTTCATAATTGTTATTTAATTAAAAAAGATTACAGATTCTATCTAAATTAAGATGAAAATTTAACCAGCACTGCATTTAAATACACAAAATGAAACATGAAATTTAACTATCATATTTATGAGAGCTGTTATATTAAAGTGGTATTATTTACGATGGCTAATGTTGCTTTAGATAAAATAATCCAGTTAATAAATATTAATAGCTCCTATGTAATTAAAATTTAAAACTGATATAATTAAAAAATTGTTGGTATTATGGCAACCATCTTAGTAAATTGGTAAAGTATGTTTTCTTTTCATATGTTGATAATGTTTACTATTTTACGATAAAGAACAATAGTTTGGGAATCTTTCTAACAAACAGGAGCAAAAACCACCAACTTGCACACAATAAGTAACTTTTGTCTTGCACACAGTAAGTAACTTTGCACACTTATGTCTTTTCATCTGCAAAATTTGCCAAATTGTTGTTACAAAGTACCAATTTTTTTTGTATGGTTTGATTAGTTTAGAAATTTTAAAATAACTTAGGAACTGTCAGAATAATTTCCAAAATTAAGATAGAAATATAAGACAAGGCTGTTTAAAATGAAAATTTTGCATTATGAAAAAAAAGTCCCATATTTTTTATTCTGATAAGAAGACTAATATTTTTAAAATGAATTCAGGTTTACTTTGTAAGATGAAACATTGTCAAATAGCTTGTTTATCATTAATTCAGCCAATCGCTCGTAAAAGACGAAACATGTATTGTTTATTCTAGGATGAGGGATTATTTTTAATTTTCTGTAATACTTGTTTAAAAAAAAAAATTGGTTATTTCGGATTGTTGTGCTGCGTTCTTTAGTTTGATTGTGTTAGCTTTCTTTTACTTTTAAAAGGCTGCAGAAATATAAATTAAATTGCTGCATTAACATTATTCATTTGTTTGGGAGGATTTCTGTCTTAATTTCATAAAAAGTAGTTATATCAGCATGCTTTATAATTTATGCAAATGTCTAATATGTCATGAATTTTCCCCCTTGCATTATTAGATTTATGCATATGTAAAAATAAAGTTTTGTAATCTTTGTTTTATACTTTTAGATTTATATTTTAAATAATCACAGGTGCACTATAATTCTTAAAAAACACTATCATTTTTTATTGTAATGTTTTTTAATAGCTAATCTGAGCAATTATAGAACACTACACAATATGATAAAAATTCTAAAATATTTTTTGTAATATAATGCATTTTGTGGTACAAGGTATCTAAACTGCATTATGAATGACTCACATCTATAATCATTTATTAATATTGTAATAATTTGCAATGGAGCATTAATAATAAAATTTTATATTGAAAAGCTTAGACAGATTAACTCTTTTTATTTACGTCTTTGAAACTTTATTATCCTTCACTTTTCTATTCTTATCACATTGAAAAATAGCTCACAGTGTATGAAAAGTATATGTAAAATTATAATTGATTGCTTTTGTATTGAATATATTATGTGTAAATATTTGCTGCTGGATTTTATTTTCATACTGATTCTGATAGATAACTGAAATGAAACTGGATAAAAAGATAAGATCTTAAGTACTTTTATATATATTCCCATTGACCATAAAATTTGGCAGAAATTCTGTCAATCATTCCATTTAAACTTTGGATGGACAGATTACCTTTTTATTTAATTAGATAATCACAGATCCCCATTCTAGATAATCTACAGATATAGCATATAAAAAACTTAAATAAATATGAATCCAAACTAAGATAAACAAATTCATTAAATTTAAGCCAGTCGTTCCAGGTCCAAAAATCTTTTAACTGCGTATAAAATATAGCAGTAAAATAGCCATCTTTTTCACTAACTTGTCACTACATAAATTTGAATGGTGTGCAGTATTTTTTATTGTACTATTTTTCTTAATTTCAGAATCTTTTAATGTTTTGAGTATGCACATGAAATATAACTACTTTCTTAACTTATGCATAAACATATTACTGTTTACCGTTCTTTTGAAGGCAGGTCAAAAATTGTAAAAACTTTTTTCAAACAAAACAACAACCCCCCCCCCCCCCCCCCCGAAAAAAAAAAAAAAAACAGAAACAGTAGTTAACTTACATTTTTCTTACAAAACTAAACTGGTTATTGCGGACTTGGGGTACACAAAATTCAAACAAATATCGTATGAGTGCGTTGCAATGTCTTGCTTGTCCATCACTGGCTCTAAATTGCACTGTCTTAACAAGTGAATGAACAATTGAATGTAACTTAAGTGTTTTTGTTAAAAATGGTCAAGAAAATAATTTTGTCATTTCTATACTCTTGATTAATGTATTTTTTAGTGCCAAAATGGACTGACACTTATTCAGTAGCATTTTAATGGAATCTGTAAACATTTAAATCAAAATGCCAGACTATTTTAGTGGTCTAATTTTCTGATGTTGTTTAAAGTTGGAGCTTACTTACATGTTTTCATAATTTGTTATATAATATTCATATATTTTTAATGGATTATTATTTTCGAATGCTGATTTTGTCTGCTGTATGTCATTGAAATATAACATTCTGTTTTTAAATATAAATTTGCTTTTATTTAATTTATTGAAATTGATTTAAGTGAAATGCTATTTTCATGATTTTTATTCTTTTAATGTTTTTTAAAGTGTATAGAATTCAGTTATGTTAAGGAATAATTGAAAGTTTGATTGATATTATGTAGCTGCTATTTTGTATCTTTTGAGATACGTGATATCAATAAATATTGCATTAAAGTGCATAATTTTCTATATATTATGTGTATTTATTTTATTTTTTCTTGAGTAACAGTTTTAAACTTAAAAATTTTACTGTTACAGTGAAAATAGTTCAGTGATAAACTAAATTTTAATTTTTAAATATATCGTACTACTGTTACTTTTCTGCATTTTTATTTAAAGAATTTGTAATGATGTAAAATGTTTATCTTATAATTCAGTTCAGGGCTAGTTTTAACAAAGACAACATTTGCTCCATTTTCCTCAAATTTTAGACCAATTTATATTTTAAGTATATCCTATGATCTTATCTTACATCCTATGAGGACATAACAGTATCCTATATCCTATGACAAATAAAACAGTTCATCATTTATGAGAATTTTATCTCTAAAAAAATCTTAATTGAGTTATATCAAGTAGTCATTCGCCATTGTATTAGTTCCGTCAATGATTGCTCAGGTCAGCAATTTTATTGAAGTGAAAAAAGGAGAGAAAAGTAGTTGTTTTATGAAGAAAATTTTACAATAACCACATTAGTTTCTTTCTTTCTTTAGTTGTCATTTAGTTTTAGACCACTAGAACTACTTTTGGGTTTTCAGAAAAAAGAATATACAACAGTTACTACCTTGTTGATTTGCTTAGTCTATTACAGTAACAGATAAAATCATGAGTCCTATCTGTCATTTATTTTTTCAGTGTTGGCTAATTTGTTTGAGTTTTCTTTAGTATCTTTTATTTATATATTTTAAGTTAACTCATTTAAGGGATTCAAGAACCACTATAAAACAATGAAATGGGTCATGGATTACCAAGACTTGATCTAGAGAATTTTGGAACAAGCATTCATTACAAAGTGGATTAATAGCAAGAGTGCATTTAAATGGAAACTGCCTGATATGAATTAAGATGCTGCACAACTTTCTAATGGGTAGCCAAAACTTGGGACAGAAATAAAAATTTTACAAGAGATTACTGCCAGTTGATCCAAAAGTAAGTTTTCTTCTATTCCATGACTACAAAAATTTAGATTAAGCAATGAAATGCACATGGAAACATTTGTACATGATGGAGGGAAAATTATTTAAGTATATGCTAATAAATATATATATAAGGAACTTTTTCTTTTATTCCATGATATATTGAAATGTTTAAACAAATTATTGAAATAAATTAATAAACAGGTTGTGCTATAAAAATAAAAAATGCAAGGTCATAATATTATACATGATGTGTAAAAACTGTTTGGTACTTCTGATTTAAACAGGACAGATCTGTTACACCATCAAATACATATTAAATATTTAAGATGTAGCATTTTCATTCGACTTGTACAGTGTTACCGATTTTGGCTAGATAAGGTTAAGCTAATATGACAAAGCTTGTGAAGGGTATCTGGCAAAAGGAAAACAAGTTCATATTCGGGTTACAAATGGGGAAAACCATATATTGGTTTGTACATTCTTCTTTTTATTTTATTACTGATTGGTACTCACTGCACCACTGTTAAAATTTTATACAATCTACTCTCATTATGTTAACATGTTGATGGTGGCGTGGTTATGTTATTGTTGATTCATTGTTCTTTTTATGCAGTGGCGCTTGAATAGCGGTTCGTCCGTTTTGTGAATCCCTCCTAGTGAAGTAATAATAACAAAAAAGAAAAAAACATTTTTAAAATTTGTAAAAAGGATCCACATGGAAGACGAGAAAGCGATGCTATAAACACTTAGCAAGCCTAAAAGGTACTCGGTACACCATGAATAGAGCAACAACATATTGCAATAATTATAAGAGCAAGCCAGCATTTTGTTTAGCTTGCTTTAAAAAATTGTACAGAAATAATTACATTTAATTAAAAAATTACATTTTAAGTTATTTGTTTTGTATTGAATGTTTGATTATAATGTTGAAATGTTAATGTATACTGTTGAATAATTAAAATTAAAAAAATTGTACTACATATTTGTTGATATACAAGTGTGACCCATTGGTGAGTCATGCTGGCCCGCAGAACATGGTCTTGCCACCCCCACAGAACAGACAAGTATGACTCACCGCTGGGCCACATGAGAAAATGAGAACTAAGATCTTCCGTACAAAGATTACAAAGATGCAATTCCTCTCCCGCTATAGTGAAGACTTCCACTATGGTAAAAATGAACACCAAATACATTTCTTAAATGCTCATTTGGACTTGTGATGTCTGCCTTCAGAATGTAGTCCGTTTTAAAAGTTTTTGTATTCTCCTTATAGCATGCAAATATATCTACTACATATTAAAGAACTAATGCTTATTAAATGGTGTAAAGGATTATATGTAGCTAATAAATTACACACCATGATCACATGTTTGAAATCCAAGAAAAATTTGAATACTCTTTACAAATAGTGAAATAGATGGTCTTTTTCCAACACACACACACAAAATAACACTAAGCGAATTCTATTCAACAGCAGCAGATTTTCAGTGATAACTTTTTCTTATGCATGCCCCAAACAGAAGTACCAGCACTCTCATGGAATAAACAGAATATGTTGCATAGATGGTAATCTTGAAACGTGAAAAACACAGTGGCACCATTTAAAAACTCCCGATTTACTTCAATTTGCTTTAAAATGCATAAATCACATTATTCAACTTTTTGTAATGTTTTTAATGCAAAATTACATATAACAAAGCATGAGGGTAGAAGAAACAGTGGAAGGTTCCTAACTAAAATTTGTTTTGCTGCAACCAGTGCCCTAGTTAGCTTTTAAACTGAACTGAAAACGTTTTACTTGAAGCTTTGTCTCTGAAATCATTTCTCAAAATAACTGGTTTTTTGTATATGTCAACCAATGAGATATTCCAAAAACAATAATTCTAGAATACAATTCTTTCGACACAATCTAGTGGCTGTAATCAGGGCTGTGGAGTCTGTAGAGACAATGACTGACTCCGACTCCCTCATATATATATATATAAACATATACGCAGGGGTTACAGCTTATTATTTTTTTCATATAAAAGAAGTAATATACCCTATAGAAAAAAAATTAATGGCATAGAAAATTATTTATATTTACATTTATTATGAAATGGAAAAACTGGCATTAGTTATTTCTAAGAAACAGTATAGCTTCAGCAAGATCTTCTTTGAGAAGAGTCTTTCCACACAACTTGAGTAGGAGGAAGAGCTATTACTGTTAGGGCTACTTTTAACTTTTCAGGATAGATTTTAAAGTTCTAAAAGAGGTGTTTGTAAGCACAATCATATTTCTCTGTTTCTTTAAAGGCCATGTACAGGGTGTTTGTGGGACCCCAAAAAATCCCCTGAAACTTTTACCGACATTTTGGAGTTTCGAGAAGGGGGGGGGGAGAAAAATGAAAAATTAAAATTATGAAGTATTGAATTACCTAATTATAAAAGTTCAATGAATTACGTTTTTGCAAAATTAATAACCATAAATTTTCAAACATATAAACTACTACATTTTATGTAAATATTTTAAATTACCTGAATTAATTCTTTAAAAAAAATTATCTAATTTCTGCTGCTTTTTTTTTTATTTTCTGATGTTTGTGGGCTTGTTTTTCTTTTGTGGTGAACTTCATAATTGCAGAAAAGGCTGACTTTTATTTTCCTCATTTACAGTTGAAGAAATTTCCTCCAGAACTGCACATGCAGAGGTAGAAGCAGTTTGCTTTTCTGCTAATGTAGAAGGTTTTTCAGAGACTTTTATAGGTGACTCATCTGAAATACATGTTTTTAAGTCCTCTTGATATGTTTTCCAACTTCTGTTCATATTCAGTTCAATTCAGATCTTTGTGAATTGGATCAGTCATTGAATTTTTAGAGCCATATTTTTCACATGAGGTTTCTTTAGAAGCAATTAAATCATATTTAATAGTCTGCACTGCATCTAGGGAATCAATCTTAAGAGAGGTTCTATAGTCAGTGACAAGTATATCCATTGAATGCACTTTCCACTAATGGGCCATGGAAGCAGCTAAGGCAGGCTTTGACCAATTTAGCCAATGTAGGATACTTATAAATCATTTGTGAAATCATCTTTTAAATTAAAAACTTTAGACCAATATTTATCAATTGTACACTTGACTTGATTTCCACTTTCATCAGATGTGTAGAGCATTTCTTTGGTGATATCAATATCACTCTGGTATAACCTTATTTCAACTTCTACTTTTGACTTTTCATTATCACTAAAAATATAGGACATAAAAGGTGATAATTTTTCAAAAGCTAATATTGTACTGGTTTTACCTCTTAGCTCTGGATCTAATGCTGTAAAACTAATTAGATATGAATTTTTAAGGGGTAATTTCCGTTCCATATGCTGTGCTGTATTAGTATAAGCTTTCATTTTAGAATTCTTTTGCTATTGGATGATTTTTTTATAATTTCTTCAGGAGAGAAGATTCTGCACCAGTAAATATTACTTTGCTAGGTAGATGGAATTCTGGGTTTGTGACATCAACCTTTAATAAATCATTATAAGATGTGCACTCTATATTTTCTGGCTTCATAAAAAAAGAGAAAAATTTTGCCATCAATTTATAAATACTGGAATGTATTAAATGAAGCATTGGTTTTTTTTTTTTTTTTTTTTTTTTTTTTTGTTTTTCAAATAATTTAATATATGTGTTGAACTCTGGTAATACTGCTGAATATAATGCCATTTGCAATAAAGTTTTGTTTTGCATAACAAATAACCCATTTAGTATTCTTTTTTTTTCCGAGCTAAAGCATCCTTTGAGAGTTGTTGAGAATGCAAGCAAGAATACACTCCTTCAACAATTATTTTCTGAGCTGCAGAAATATTTCTTTTATTGTGTACAGTTTCAGCATAAGAAAAATAATCCCCTTTATCAGTTTTATCCAAGTAGTGAAAATAAAATGCAATAAGAGCATCTCACAGATCTTTGAGTCTTTCTAAAACACATAAAATGTATACCCACCTATGGTCTGGTCTCTTCAAGGGCTTAAGTTTTTTAATGGCAAAGGATTCACAGATTTTGAAAAAATTTTCT